GGGGGCTGGAGTCTATCCTGTCTTACCTGGGAGACCATTTTGGGGTTACTGAACAGCACATTCTGTCATCCTTCCCGGCTCAAGTTACTGGAAGGAAAGACAACACAAACCTGACATTTAGACCAACAGAGACATTGAAATGTGTTTTTAAAATTTCCTCTTTGTACATAAATTAAATGTACATGATGAGTTTAAGCGTGCACAGTATGGAAACATTCGGTTAGGCAAAATAAGCCTTATATGACTTTAAATTTCAACAAAAAGACAACATAGAGGCAACGTGTAACTTTGCACATACAATCCCAATATAGGTGTCAGAAGGTGTGTCAGAAAAGTTCCAGGACTGGTGTCAAAAAAGATATATTTCAAACCCAAACTGCAAACTACGAATTTTCCCTTCAGTCGATCAACCAGCACGTCTACAAAGAGATCCTGCGGTGTTTGCTTCATTCAGTGTGCGTGAAGAGGTGAGAGTTGTGGCAGGACAAGTCGTGGCTGCTTCACCATGACAACGAGCCTGCTCGCAATGTCCTGAGCATCCGACAACTCCTGACTGAGAAGAACATCTCTGTGCTGGAGCAACCTCCCTACTCACTCCACCTGGCTCCGTGGGATTTTTTCCTCTTCCCCAAGCTCAAGGGGGTCATCAAGGGAACCCGTTTTGAAGATGTGACGACAGAGCTGCAGGGGATCCTGGAAGAATTCTTCCAGGAGTGCATGGCGGCAGAGAAGGCTGGGAAAGTGTGTTAGACTCCAGGGGGATTACTTCAAAGGGAAAAACTTGTAGTTTGTAGTTTGGATTTGAAATATATCTTTTCTGACACACCTCGTGTAGACCCCTCTGCACAGTTTTTGTGGTTCTATGAGTGAGTCCACGTCACCATTTTAACATAGAATTAAATTTATGAAATTATTTTGAAAATCATTTTAATTTACAGTTAAAATATTTTTAAAAACCTGGAACCTTGGCTAATAATTGGCATAGATCATATTCTACTGATGTTAGAGGCCTCAAAAGTGAAACGATGACTGAAGACTTTTAGTTGGAAATATGGATTAATCTATAAATATCCCCTTACAGGAACTTTTCTGGGCCCCAATACCATTGTTTGAAAATGTGGTACATTTTTAGCATTTTCAAGCTCTAGTAATTTAAAATTTATAGTCTGCTGGAGCTGTTTAATCATTTGGATCTGCTGGACTCATCTGTGGTAGTTATATTCCTGGAGATATTGAACACTTAAATTCTCAAAATTCAGTCAAGATTTTGGGTTTTGGGTCCCAACAAATAAACAAGTGAACTGTGAAGAAACTCTGACACAGTGACCACTGTTTAGTTTCAAAGCCCAACCCTTAAAATTCAGATGAGAAAAGGAGAGGTGAATGTTGCTATGCCCTTCATCACATTTAATTATTAAGAGAGCAAAAAGCTTTACCAGCAGTATCGAGCAATGTAAGCGGTGCCTGTTTTACCTTCCAGGCCACAGAAACGCTGCCCTAACCTACAGATGGAGGTTGTTGGAGCACTTCCACTTCCTCTGCATGTTCATTTTTTAATCTGTAGTTTTGTTTGTTCTTCTCAGACAGACGCCAGAAGCACAGTACTTATTTGGCAGCTTTTATCTAATACTTTGGGGAACTGTTTCTCTAAATTCAATTAAAGCTGCTTTACACCGCTCCTGCTGTTTGTGCCTGAGAATATGAATGTGGTGAAAATGTTTCTTTCTCCCTTCTTTTCAGTCCATCCACCATCTGGATGGATTCTCGAAGCTTTAGCTCAATTTATGTTTGAAAAACAGCAAGAGCTCATTTTGTTGTCTCGTAGTAATTTTACATAGTGATTGTGTGTGTGTGTTTGTGTGTGTGTGTGTGTCTGTGTGTGTGTGTGTGTGTGTGTGTTTCAGGTCCGGGTGGCAGATGGAGACCCCAGAGGTCTATTATGGGTTCTGGATGAGGAGATGGTGACACCAGCCTCCTGCGAGAACAGTGCCCTCGAGAGAGTCTGCCAGTATTACAGCAACACTGGTAACACAAGATAGACGCATTGACAGACCCACAGAGTTTCTCTCCCAGCATGTGTGCAGTTTGTGAGCTCTATATAACTTACAGTGTCCTAATTCAGTGGTTGGTGTTGTGAATGTGTGTGTCCTCGCAGTGCGTCAGTGTGAGCAGCCGTTGCAATGCGAGGTGAACCACCTGATGGGCGGTGACCCCGTCCGCTACGACCTGACTGGATGGTTCGGTCTGATCCAGAACAACCCGTCTGCGCTCAATGCCATCTGTCTGCTCCAAAACTCCACCATGTGAGTCTGTTTAAAGGCCCAGGAGGCTGACGCGTGTGGTGGTTGTGTGTTAGTCTTTCAGCTGGCTCCTGTTGGTGTGATCAAAAAGGTCAGAGCTCTGCCTATAAAAAGCAAAAGGCGTACCTGATTTAAATTTGCTCACCATCCCCTTCTTAGTCATCACCTTGTGTAGTGATATGGCGCTCCCGGTGCTCCTGCAACGTTTGAAAAGCTCTTTGAAGGTCCTGTTCTGCAAGCTCGTCAAGCACCATCTGCTGGTCCACTGTGTCTGAACAGCCATCCTTTAACTTGAAGTTCAGTTTGGGAAAGAGGATTAAGTCACAAGAAGGCAAAGCTGGCGTGTAGGGTTGTTGGAAATTGACAGTTCTGTTGTTGCAGCTAAAAACATTCAGTACACTGTGACTTTACAGCCAAATTGATTTGATATGTGTTCAAAATTACTCAAAATATGTCCAAAATGAATAAAAACCTTGTCCAAATCAACACAAAGTTTGTCCAGAATGACTCAAAACATGTCCAAAATTATGCAAAACTGTTCCAAAATGATTCTACATTTGTCTCAAATTAAAAAATAAACACTCTTCCTGGAGTCTTCGTGTGCTGTTGCTGATTGAGTGCAATGAGGATTTAAAAAAAAAACAAAAAAAAACACACTGTACTGCCACATATGAAAGCCAACTTCTCTGTCTTCTCCTTCTTCAGAGGGGAGGTGAAGTCTATGTTCACCCCCAGAATCTCCCTGCCAGCTCTGTGTCGAGGTCTTGGGGGGCTGGAGGGCGGCAGCCAGCGCTCTCTGCAGAGAAACGGCACCATCAGGAAAACGTTCAGCGGGGGGATGGCGGCCATACGCAGACACTCGCAGTGCATCGCGGTAAAACTGCAGGCTGTAAGTATGACAGTACCTTCACCTTCTCCTCTTTCTGAAGCATCAGTCTCTTATCCACACTCTGTCCTCGGCCTGCAGGATGCTCTGGTGAATCTGATTCGTCGAGCCCGGCCGGTGTTCCTGCAGTGTCTGAGTGCAAAGTCTGACGGAGGAAGTTTTGACGTCCCAGCTCTCAGAGTGCAGCTACACTCCACACAGATCCTGTCGGCACTGCAGCTCTACCGCACAGGTTAGCAAATTACACTGATGAGGCTTTCCTTTCTACACAAAAAACTGAGGAGTTATGAAGGAACAAATCAGAAACAACCAGATAAATAGTGAACCATGTACCTCTTAAATACGTAAGAACTGAGAACTATCCAGCATATAATGATGAGTTAGCACAGAACAGACTATGTGTCTTTTTTCCTGATTTTTTTTTTAAACTCCTTTGATGTTTTCATGTTGTGATTTGTTTTCCAGCAAAGAAGACAACAATATCGTTGCTAGCCTGTGTGAAAACACACAGTGAATTTTGAATTTGAACATATCTTTACAGATCAAATATTTGATTTTACCCACCTTCAAAGACTTGTTGGAATTTTGAATTACAAGTGACTGTCTGGTAAATATCTCCCAAAATTAGTATTGCGAAGAATCACAACATAGAGCAGCTAGACTTGTGGCTTCTCTTAACCCTGTAACATTTTTGTTCACTGTAGGATTATTTTTACACTATAATATAAAGTCCTGCATCTCTATGGAAACAGCAAAACCATTACTAGAATTAGAGAGAACTCAGAAATGTCTTCTGTGCTGTATAAAACAGTTGAAATGCCATTAATCTTTTCTTCTTTTTTTTTTAAGTTCAATGTCTTTCAACATGTAAAAACCTGGAATCAACATTTTTCCTAGTGCCACCAGGTGATAACATTCCTGGAAAAAAGGTGGCTCTACATATTATAGATATTGTAATACTTTTTATATTTTTTGGTTTGTTTCCAAGTTTGTCTCCTCTCTACTCTGTATGAACACAGCCTGCTGCTGGGTTTTGGAGTTCAGAGGGTTCAGCTGTGCCACCTTTACAGAGATCCACTTCTTGACTCGTACATTTTGAACAGTCCAATCACAGCATTGTAGCCACTGACTCTATTACCTTCAATCTTGGTGATTTATTCCGTTGTAGCCCATTCTACATGTTTTCCTTCATGTTTGCTCAAAAAACAAACAAACAAGACTCAATTTCACCTCTTCCTTCTGTCACAGTTGATCATCGTCTGATCAATAACAATAACTCATATTACTCATATTATTGACATCACTTCATAAATAGTGGTGGGACGTGATTAAAAAAATGTATCTAATTAATTAGAGACTTTGTATTTGAGTAATCGTGATTAATCACATTTTAATCAAATAGCGATATATGACACAATATGCAAAGTTTTTCAATTCAGATAAATTTTGGTTTAAATTTTGAATTAGTGACTAGACATATATGTGAACCGAAACAACACAAATGTTTGTTTTTCATCTATATTAATCTGTGCATTTTTTCATCTGTCTACTACATTCACAGATTAGTGTAAACTCAAAATTTGCACACTACCATGCTCTTATCCAAGCTGCCATTGGGAAATTTAAAAACAAAAAACAAAAAAACTTTCTGACCAACAAGCCAAACAATGCGGTCGCGTCTTCCATCACTGTTCATCAAACTTACTTTTGTGCTGACGTTACACAGTACATCCTGTGTAGGGCTCCAGGTTGCATCCAAAATGGTCGCATTTGCAGCCTTTTTTTGAGCGTGTGTGAATTAAAATTTTAAGCGGTCACATTGGTGTGACTCCATGATGATTAAGCTGCATGAGTGTTGCTGTAACCGGCAGCTGCTGTGTTAACCGCAGTGGTGGAAAGTAGTACTTTTATATCTGTATCTTTATATCCTAATCATAATGCAAACATGTTTTTTTTGTTTTTCTTTTTATATCACCTCAATAAATCAGTAAATTGTGAAAGTAAAATTTGCAATCAACACACAAAAGTGGCTCTAACACTGGGAGACACTTTATTAATGAAACTACAGGTTATTGTCAGTTCAAAAATATCTGTGAAACACAATAAAGAGAAACACAAGCTTAGAAACATTCATTACTACTTATTTAATCATGAATTCCTCTTTTAGTGCTCTCTCTGGTTTGTAATTACAAAACTAATTATGATTTCCGCAGAAAAAACAAGGAAAACAATTAACTGGACCTATTTTAAGATAAATCTGAAACATAATAAATTGTGGAAGAGTCACGAACCTTTATTTATGTACTGTGTATTTATATTTATGAATATCATAAATACACACTTTATGTGTGTATTTGTGATATTCATAAATATGTATGTTTATATTTAAAAGCATTTCTTAAATATTTTATATATTGCATTATAAAACATTGAACTGTTTACATACTGTATAAACGCAGAATTGAGAATATGATGACAATTAATGTCTCACTTATTCAGAACACACTCGAAGACAAATCTTAGACCAGTTGCATTTTGTCCTTTACATACATACATATTGTGCAAAAATATTTTTTTATTCAAGTGCCAAATGTAAAATAAAGCTCATTACCTGAGAAGGAGAATGAAGAACCAGCAGCCCACACTCTACCTCTGAGCGAGGTTTTCCTTCCAAGGGAGCAGATTTATCTATTTAGGTCCACAAGCCAATTTACTTTGAGAAATCTGCCTCTTTTTATCTGGACTGGCACAGTGATGCAGAAAAAACAGGAGCCTCAGCACAAGTTCTTTAGAATCAACCAGACCCTGAATTTATTGGATTATTGGATTACAGTGTTCCTGATCTGGAACCAGTTCTCTAATTAGCTGAAGCAGAGACATCTTAAAAACTGCTCAGTGTTGACTAGTCATCATTAGAATGATACATTTGATGCTTTTTTATGAATCTATACATGTTTTGTTATGTTAAATGAATATATATATATATTATAAATGTGTATTTTCTCCTACAAACCATTTTTTCAGGGTTTTCAGCTTTTCTGAACACAGTCTTTGACTATGGGAGGGGGAGAAAAGTTGATAACTTGTCTTTGTCTCTGGCTGTAGGTTATCCTGATCACATGACTCTGAGCGACTTCAGGTGTCATTTCCAGGCGCTGTCTCCTCCAATTATGAAACGTTATGCCTCAATGTTTGTCAGCCACGATGAGAGAAAGGTCAGATGTCACGTTGCAGCCGCACAAACACTCTGTCTGGCTGTTCAAGCTAAGAATAAATAAGTTGTTTTTCCCTCTATGTCTCAGGCGGTGGAGGAGCTGCTGGTTGAGCTGGATGTGGATAAAAAGAGCATTGTCGTAGGAGCCAGCAGGGTGAGAACATGTTTGAACTCTTGTAATAAACAACCCAACATGAATCAAGCTGATATGGCTCATGGATCCTCTCTCTGCTGTTTGTCAGGTGTTTATGAAGCGAGGTGTGCTGCAGTACCTGGAGCAGCAGAGGGACCAGCAGGTCACCGGTTGGCTGGTCCATCTACAGGCCGCCTGCCTGGGACATCTGGCCCGGCAGAAATACCGCAAACTCAAGGTTAGTGTGTCCCTGTGAGCGTCTGCAGCGCTGACTGACTGTTGAGCTTTAATCTATACACTGAAGATGCACATTAGTTTGTCTATAAAAGCAAAACTTTCACTTTACTGTCATTACAACCCAGCAAAGCATCTGAGAAGATGAAACTAGAATTTAGCCAGAAATCATTCCGTGATTCTAATTATGTGCAAACATTAGCTTGTTTTTTGAAAGTTTAAAGTCTTTTGTGTGTCTTTGTGGTCATTTTGTGTCCCTCTGTAAATAATTGGCATCTAGTTGTGGTTATTTTGTATATCTTTATAGTTCTTTTGTATCTCTTTGTGGTCATTTTGTGTCTGTCTGTGGTTTTATTTTTTTGTGCTTGTAATGTCTTTTGTGGTCTTTCTTTGTGCTTCGTTTGGTGGTCATTTTGTGTATTTGCTTGTCTTTGTAGTGTTTAACCCTATTCAGGACTTTCATGTTGCCATACATAGAAGGTCTTTCAGAGTCCATTGGACTCCAAGAAAGAATGTGTGCAAACTATTTGTTGGTATTCATTGTAGACTTCTACACTATGTTAAATGCGTTTTCTGATAACTAGATGTATTTTTGCTTCCAAATGCCTGACAAATGTCCCTCTCTCTCTCTCTCTCTATATATATATATATATATACACACACACATATGTGTATATTTATATATATATATTTATTTATTTATTTTAAATCTTCAAAAAAAACAAAAAAACAATATCTGTCACCTAAACCAAATGGCCTGGGGTCCAAAAACCCCAAAAGTCCTGAATAAGGCTAAAATAGTTTTATATGATTTATACTGATCTTTGAAGAATAATTTAACAACTACCATGTCATTTTACTGTTTTGGGACCTAAATTCGAGCAGAAATGGCACTGTACAATAGGATTAAGCTGAACTCTGACACAGAAGAAACATTAACTATCATGCCATACAAAGACTCTTCAGTACTGGATGAGCCACAAAATACTATTTTAATTTGTAGTTATGTTTATGAGATGGAAATTGAAGCAACTCTACTTAGAACTTCTGTGGTGTTTGAGCATCTTTCTAATGACTGTGATAGAATCAATTTTGGCTAAAGAAACAACAAACTGGTAATATATAATTGCAATAATGTAGTGAATATTGTGTGCATATACAGTCATTTGAAATTAGGTTTTCTGTTTGTAGTCATTATCTGAGTTGCAGTTAAAATGCCATTTTGGGATTTGATATTCATCACTTTGGGAGAACAGAGAGCTCAGCAGTAGTTTTACCAAATATTTGACTGAAACCCTGTTTTTGTGTCTCCAGGTACAGCAGATGGCAGTCAGCTGTCTGCAGAGGAACCTGCGGGCTCTGAGGTTTGTGGCCAGGTGGAGCTGGTGGAAACTTTTCTGCAGAGTGCGACCTCTGCTCGATGTCAACATGGACAATGAAAGGCTCAGGGCCAAAGAGGTATGCATACAGTCAAGCTCAGGAGTTGAAACGTTTGGGGAGAAACACCTATTTGCTTTCTTACTGGGATTTAATTGATAAGATTGATCGTTGGAACCTTGAAGTTTTCCATGTTTTCTGCTCCAACAAACTTAGCACCACAGACTGTATTCAAGGCTGCTTTAAACATTATGAGGAGTTATCTTTTTACTGTGTTTCTGTTTTTGTCTCATTCAAGCTTTCTAATGAACTACAACAAGTATCTACACTGTAGCTGTGTTTCTATAATGCGTTTTTATGTGCATTTATAGTGTTACATTATAAAAAGTTCAGGGAAAAGTCAAAACACAAAGAAAAAAGCATCTCCAGTTTTGTTTTTGACTTTTTCAAAAAAACGAGTTAATAAGCTTCATGAGACATGAGAACACTGTCTGAATAAGGACTGACGTACCAAACAATTAATTGATAAAATCATTTACTTGAATTCAGATCTACTTCTTACTTCCAGGGTGCTGCTCTGTGGCTGCCTAGCGACATCTCTCACCTGGCATTTTTGTGTGTTTCAGTGGGTTTTTTTTCCGTATATGTGAGGATGTCTCCACTTTGTACCCTTTGTACCTGGTTTATATTAAGTGTTAAAATAGATCTTGTTAGATGGTGTGCGATCGGACTGATAACTTTGATTTTAAGTACGGCTATGCTGCTGGTGGAGTATCCGGGGGAATCCAGTATAGTAGAGACACACTTATTCTGCTACGCAATCACGTTGCATCAGACTATTACACTGGAATAAACTCAATACTGGAATGAATCAGGGCAGACCTGGGGAACAATCGCACTTGGAGGAGATGTAAACATAAACGTGGATGCACATCAGCAATTAAAGAAGATGACAAGCAAACTTCCTCTGCTCACTACTCTGCTCATTAATGCACAGTCCTTGAGAGCAAAGACTGACGAGATGTCAGCTAACTCCCGGTTCCTGCATGAGTACCGCAATGCTTGTGTCGTGGCTATCACTGAGACATGGCTCGATAACAGCATTTCAGACAGGACACTTTGTCAGATTTTAACCATTTATTTGAGATCACATACATTTAGTCTGGCGGTGACTCTGCTCGTGATGCTCTGGAACAATCTGAGCAAGCATGGCACAGATAGTCCCTGAGATCACAAACCCCCACAGAGCCATGAATTTACAATTTATAATTTTTTGAATACGGTATGAACACGAGAACAGGAGACCAACTAAATAGTCTTCACTTACAGAATCTAGATTACATAGTTCAAGGTACAATAATGAACCATCTGCAACCTACAGTCCCATGATATGGGAAACACTGGGGTTATATGATTGAACTGTTTTTAAAAGGTGGTGGTTGGAGAGGAGGAGGAGGAGATTTGACGATCTGCAGAGGCTGGAGTAGCAGCGATGTGGTGAGCGTGAAGCAGGCAGAATGAATGAACGCTGCCTCAGTTATAAAGCAGCTAAGTGGGTGGGCTGGACTTTAGCGATGACGATTGGACAGGAGGGGCCATGTGACACCCTGGCTCCGTGCCTGTCTGAACGAACGCGACGCTCTATTAGTTCGAGTGAGGTGGAACCACAGGGCTTCTCAGCGTTCAGAACCGACCAGGATCCTGCAGTGATATAGTAAGGAGGGATATCCAGAGACAAATCAAAAGACAAATAGTATTGGATAAATACAGTTACAGTAAAAACAAAAATGGAGGGCGCTCTTACATCAGGTAACCCCAGAGAGGTATGGCAGGGTATTAAAACCATGACAAATGTCCCACATAAGGGAAGGGGGAAGGTTTCACTTGACCATAATGCTATTAAGGGGCTGGAGATGGCCAACCAGCTTAACGCCTTTTGTTGCTTTGACAGTGGTAAAAGCCATCCCTCTGAACCTCCCTCTGGATTTTATTAAAGACGCTGAAGTCCTGCACTTTTTTAGATGCTGTAATCCAAGGAAAAGTCCTGGCCCCGACAATATCTTTGGGAGTGTTCTGAAGCACTGTGCTGGACAGCTGGCACAAGTTTTTACAGAAATTTTTAGATCTTCTTGTAACAGTCACAAGATACCAAACATTTGGAAAGTAGCCATAATTGTATTTGTTCGGAAGTTCCCCAGGCCCTCAGGCCTCAATGACTTCAGACCAATTGCACTTACATCACTGGTCATGAAGTGTTTTGAACGCCTGGTAAAGAGCTACATTCTACCCATAATGCAGCATCTTATGGTCCCCCTGCAATTTGCCTATCAAGCCTCTAGGGGTGTGGAAGATGGTGTACTGACCTTGCTGCATGTACTTCACATCCACCTTGAGAAACCAAAGTCACATGCTTATATATTATTTGTAGATTTTTCATCTGCTTTTAATACAATTTTGCCAAATATTTTAGCAGATAAGCTAGAAACAGAATTCTCATTTCCATCTTGTTTGATTTTATAGATTGTGGATTTCTTAAGCAGCAGAACACAGCAGGTCAGAGTTGTATCATCACTCTTAGATAAACTATCCACTTCCATAGGCTCCCCTCAGGGTTGTGTTTTATCTTCATTGTCATTTATATTGTACACAAACTCCTGCACAAGCACTTTCCCCAACAGGCACTTTATTAAATATGCAGATGGTGCTGCCTTAGTGAGCCTCCTACATGATGGAGAGGAAGAGCATGGGCCAGTTCTTGACCACTTCCTTCAGTGGTGTGACAGGACAAACCTTGTCCTCAACACCTGTAAGAAAAAGGAAATGTCTATTGATTTTAGAAAGCAAAACTCATTCCAGCCCACTTTTATAAACAGTGAGCTGATCCACTCTGTGAACGACTACAAGTACCTTGGGGTTATGCTTGACCATAGACTGAAATGGGACTCTTGGTCTGACTGCCTGAGCACGAAGGCACAACAAAGAATGTATTTTTAAAAGAAACTTCTTCTTTTAATGTGAACTACACAATGGCCACATGTTTTACAGTGTTTTTATTCAAAGTGTCTTGATATTTTGCACTATTTGTTGTTTTGGAAATGCTTCTGAAGCACAGAAGAAGTCTTTAAGAAAGACAGTAACAACATCCAGCAAACTTTTGGGAGCCACACTGCCCAGCCTAGAATATATTTACAAAGACCAGGTTATGAACAAGGCCAGTAGTATTGTGGCTGACGACTGGCATCCACTTGCCTCCTTCTTTAAACTGTTGCCATCTGCCAGGCGTGATTGCCCTCCTCTGTTAAAAAACAAACAAGCAAACAAACAACAACAACAACAACAAAAAACAGGTCCAAACTGTCTTTCATTCCACAAGCCATCAAATTTTTAAATATGGACAGGAAATAAGATCCAGCTGGTCTGGCCATAATGTTCAAAATGTGGAGACACTGTTTTAAAGGGTTTGTGTTTGTGGGCTACCTAAGTGTGAAATGCCATTGAGTGTTTTCTGCTGCAAACCAGTTTTCCCACAGGGACAAATAAACATCTATCTCTATCTCTAACTCACAGACTGATCAGCTGTTTCTGCTGTTTTTGTTGTCAATGTTTCTGGATAGTATGAAACATGTCCAATACCAACTGACATAAAAGGATAATTACATCTTCAGATTGAAAACAAATCCTGAAGACTCTCCAGTTTTCTCTTGTAAATGGAAAAAAGTTTTGTTTGTTCCTTCCTCTTCTTCCTCAAGGTTTTTTAGTGGTTGGCAACAGGGACAATTTTCTTAACTGATAGTCATCCGTGTTATCAATTAATGTTTGATTAACCATTTTGCAAGGGTTTCCATGTGCTGAGAAAGCTGTTTTTAACCATGAATACTTGATTCTGCTACAAAACCAGCTAATTCCATGGGCCATATAACTACTGAAGTACTGTCCCATGAAGATTAGACTTGTTTTCTGCATGTGAGTACTGGCTGGAAGTCATTAACCACCACAGAGGTCTCTGTCATGGTTGCCCATTGCTAGCTAAACCCCCACAATGCTTTCAGCCACACAAACACCCGAAAAGCACCTTACCCATCAACTATCATAATTCAAACACCACTTAACTGGAATATCAGAAAGCTACTCATTTCACAACATTACCATGATCCATGTATTGTGAGGAGTAACTGTGTCCCCACATTTTCCAATTTGGTTTCCTTCTACTGTGTTTACTACAGCTATGTAGCCTATAGCACCACCTTCTGATGACACTAAAGAACCTAATTCACATTTTCTTTCTTAAATTTTTTTGTGCCATTTCAAAAGTTTCCTTTTAACTTTCCTGACAGTCTTATGGAAATGTGATTGTTATCTGGCTTTGTGTTCCTGATGCTGCGCTGTCCTGTCTGCTATCTTGGCCAGGTCCTCCTTGAAAAAGAGTTTTTTAACCTCAGCGGTTTAATCTAAATACATTTTCAGAACAGGGGATACATTTTCAGACTTGCTAGTTCAAACACTGCTCTCTGCCTCACCGCCACAGACCTGCAAATCACTGTGTGAATGCTAGATTGTCTGTTTAAGAAACTCTCCCCTGTTCTGATGCCATACAAGAGCAGAGAGAAGGGCTTTCTGAAACTGTTCAAACATGCGACAAGAGTGTTTTGTTGCCCTGAGGCTCAGTAATTAAGTCATTGTATCTTGTTTGTTTAGTCTGTACAAAACCAAACTGTAAAAGCGACATGTTGTGGTTTTGTACTGCTTATTGGCTGGGGGCAGTCAGTTCCCAGAGTCTCACAACAACCTCAGCTTGTGCTGCTACAATAGCCTAACATAAATTCTGCAGCATGTAGTATTGATTCAAGCAAATTAAAAACATTGCTACTGAACAAATCGTAGATTTAACAGCCCACACCAGTAATATGCAGTACTGAGATCTAAAATGACGAATAGTCATTGTCATACTATCATGCAATGATACTGCTTTTGAAAACTGAAGAAGTCCTAACCATACAAAGACACAAGCAGACAACTGATTAGTCAGATAGATGGTTGTTCGGGCTGCCTTTGCTGCCTCTGCATCCAACAGGTGGACTCTGATCTCAGTAAGTGTGACTTAAAATATGTTTCAGTTGCTATAAGATGCTCTTGTTTTGTCAGGATGAGATATCAGCTCTGAGACGACGCCTGGAGAAGTCAGAGAAAGAGAGGAATGAGCTGAGGCAGACTGCAGACAGCCTGGAGACCAAGGTTTGTGCTGCCGTGAACGCAAACACGATGCATGCACACAGATACGCACTGCTCATGTTTTGAACCATGTGTGCAGGTTACGGCTGTGACATCTGAGCTAAGCGATGAGCGTTTCCGTGGTGATGCAGTGGGTCAGGCTTTGGATGTGGAGAGGGCAGAGAGACTTCGACTCGGCAGAGAGAACAAAGACCTGCAGGTAGGCCAACTGCAAAAGTAATCTATTACACAGCGCATGAGTTCGGAGGAGAGTAATTTGCCTCCAGCGTGCAGTGATTGTTGTACACTTTAATATAGCGTTCCTGAGATGATTTTATCCTCTTTATTGTCAAACATCTGTCTTCTTTCGACTGTAGGCTCGCTTAGACCAGTGTAAAGTCACCATGGAAACCCTGGAGAAGCAGCTGGAGGAGGAGAAGCAGAAAGCTCAAGTTGCTGAGAGTCAGAGAGGAGCAGGGACAGGTAAAGAACAACAGAGTTTGCTTTTCTCATCTCATCACTAAGTGCTGGAAACAGAAAAATCTGAATCATTTGTGTATCTACTGTTGTTTAAGTGCAGTCCACCGAGGTGCTTTTACCTAGAGATACACGGAGGAGTAGTGGAAAGGCTTGAAAATATATAGTGTCATTTCATCTCAAATCTTCAGCTTGACCATTTTTGATTTGCTTCAAACTTTTTAATCATAAACTATGAATACTTTTAAAGGTTTAAGTGAAATTTTAAACTGATATATATCTATATGTGTCTATGTTTTTGTTTTTTTTTAATTTCCCTGCAACTTTCGTCATGTTTTTCACACATTGAAACTTGTGGCTGTGCTGAAGTGATGAATATCTTAGGATGCATCATAGATAAAAGTCTGACATGTTCCCTGTTATTTCTAATCATACCATTGATTCAGAATTTGCAATATTGTAGATGAGTAGATCAAACAGTCTCTGATCATGGGTGAGTTGAATTATGAAAAACAAAACTGAAGCTGTCATGAAATTTTTTGGACCATGTGTAGTTGTATGTCATAATACAAAACATCATATAGAACTGTATATATAACATATAAGTCATTTTTCTTGAACTTTTGTAACAGATTGAGCAGGTACATCAAGCAGCTGGTACATAGCCTAGTCCAACTAGAACAGAGTTCTGGAGTTTTAAAATAGTTCTCCAAATATGTTGTATTCTAACTTATTGCATGATGAGAAAAACTCCAATAATGCGTTCATGAGACCCGCCTCTGTAGAACCTGTAGGTCCTTCTGAGCAGCCCTGAAAAACTGCAGTGGACGAGGTGATGCTGACGGGTTACGCTTTTTTCTCTGTCCTCCCAATGTCCTTGTCCAACAGCAGTCTTCACCATAAAGGCTCACATAAGAAACTTTTATTGTTCTATTCATTATGAGCTCAGAGAAATAGAGTTGCGTCCCAAACCTATTACAGTCATGACTCGATAATCCGACCCTGAACAAAAACCTTGCTATCTGACAGGTTTTTTTGAAAAACAAATGGAACCCAATAAAAATAGCCTTAACATACCAACAGCCTTGGATTTCGACTCCGACATGACATTTTATGTCACAAATAAGAATAACGGCGTATTATCTAACTTAACAATCCAACAGATTGGCTCCGTTCAGACTGCAGGACTTAATGCTCAATTCAGATTTTTTGTGAAATCCAATTTTTTGCGAGTTCGTTCACATTTCCAATATATGCGACTTGTATGTGATCTGCTGTGTGAACTTCGTATGACCTAAAAGTGTCCCACATATGCAGAAGAGGACACAACGATGTCACACGCACCGAGCATGCTCAGTGTTTGCAGAAGTAAACACGGATGGTAACGGTGGAGCGTATCTGCCACTCCCCCGACACAGAAAAGCAGAAATGCTGAAATGGGAAATTAGAGGCCCATTCCTGTCGACTGCCAGAGTTGCAGTGCAGAGCCACCTATTGATCCTCATGTAGAAACATTTCCATGTTGTTATTCTAAACCTTTTTCACTTTATATCAAGAGGTTCGACTTTCCTAACTAAACAAACTAGTCGCAAATTGCTTATTTCATCCTGATGAATGCCACCTGTTCAGGAGTGTCAGATTTGATCATGAGCATAAACAATGACACCTACGTTGCCACACAAGTCTGCCATTTTCTTCTTGTTTGTTTCTGTGCACGTTTCATTCATTACAAAGAAGAAATGAACCTCGTGGAGCCTTAAGTCCCGCAGTCAGAGGTGAAACTCAACCACATGTCCTTGCATATAATTCTTACTATGTTACTGGCTGTTGTCCCTGTCACAAGCTTTTAACAGGAGATCTGACGATGAGTGTGGCCAAAAATGTGCATTCTGATAATATACAGCTGATATTATGGTGCCTCTGCTGCCTTACTTGGGTGGTGAGCGGTTTTTCTCCCCAGATTGATTATTATAACAAAGACAAAGAAACAGCCTCATCTTTGTTGGTAAATTTGCCATTTGTTGTGTCGATTCTGAAATACTTCTATTAGAATTATTCCATCAGCATGTTTTTGCTCCCTATTTTTATTGATGATATTTGCTTAGTGGGCTGCAAGGTGACTCAGTAGTTAGCACCGTTGCCTTGCAGCAAGAAGGTTGCCGGTTCTTGTCCCTGTCAGGACACCCAGGATCTTTCTGCGTGGAGTTTGCATGTTCTCCCCATGCAGCATGGGTTCTCTCCTGGTTCTCCAGCTTCCTCCCACAAGGTCTCTAAGTGTAGCCCTGTGATAGACTGGCGACCTGTCCAGGGTGTCCCCTGCCTAGGTCAGCTGGGATAGGCTCCAGCCCCCGGCAGCCCTTGTGAGGATGAAGCGGTGTATAGATAATTGATGGATGGATGGATGGATGGATGGATGTTTGCTAAGTCAATAGGGCAGCAATAGATCAAACTGAAAGTGAATTTTTAGAGAGAGTTGCTCAAAAAATGTGATAAAGAAACCAGGATTTTGCAGTGGACCAGCTACAGATAAATATCTGTAGTAAAAGGAGACAGACCAACATGAAGCACTGTTAAAGTAATGGGATTTACATAATGGTTTGATAACAAGCAGCCAGCATCACTCCTGTAACTGCATCTTGAGTAGAAACCTGTTTAATCATCAGTCATTCAGTCCAGCACCTTTTCTACAAGTTAGTGCAATTCAAGGTACTTTACAGGTGACTGATGAGTATAATCAACAAGAAGGACTAAAACATTTTAAAATGTAAGCATATTAACATAATTATTGAATATTTCATCTAAAAGGTAAGTTTTATGTTTGTGTTTAAGCATATCCAAAATGTTTGCTGTTTAAAAAAAAAAAAATTGGTTCTTGAAAATGGAGAGAAGAGCAATTTTTTTCAAATGAGAAAGTAAAACTGAAGACAACATGCACGAGACTTGTAACTTTTCCCATATAGTGAGTATTTATAGACCTCTTTGCACACCTGTTTTTGGAGTCCTACAGATGAGTCCACATCACCATTTCTGCAAAAACAGAACCTCAGCTTATAATACTTGCCAGACATAAAATTCTACTGATATTAGAGGGCACAAAAGTTGGTGAAATGTTGAACAAAGACTGTATTTGTAATACTAAATATGGATACATTCATATACACACCCTGACAGGAGCTTTTGGGGGCATCAGTACCACCCTTATTTGTAGCTGTTGCCAATAAATAAAACTATAGCCTTTCCTGGAGCCTTTTAATGATTTGGATCTGCTTGACTGTGTTCTCACCAAATTTCATGGCCTGTTTGAGTTATATATCTGGCGTCTGGCCATAAAATGGCTTCCGAGGTAAGACAGTGTTTTTAGGGTCAAAATACAAAAAGTCCCAGAAATATAAACTTCTTTTGCAGAGGTTTTGTGTTCCCCCCCAAAAAAAGGTAAATGCTGAGCAAAATCTGCAACAGTGCAGCAACAGCTTTCTTGAAATATGTCTGAATTGACAATGACTGACCTCGTTTCAAAGTTAAAAAATGAGGCAAAGGAAAGTCACCAGACTCAAAGTGACCCTGGCGATCACCCCGGACAAAGTGACATCCATCTCTGCCTGTCACGCAGAAAGCGAGCTGGCCATGCAGCTGGAATGCTGCCAGACTGAGGTGGAATTTGTCCGCAGACGACTGAAGCAGACAGAAGAAAAACTGGAGACAGAGAGGCAGACCCGACAGCAGCTCGATACCAAGGTGAGGAAGGACACTGTGACGTGCACAGCAACACTGATGGCAGATTAAATGTCTGAGGTTAATAACACTGGTGTGTGTGTGTGTGTGTGTTTGTGTGTGTGTGTGCGTGTGTGTGTGTGTGTGTGTGTGTGTGTGTGTAGGTGGCAACACTGCAGGCCCAGCTGGAACAGTCCAGGAGGAGCACGACCGAACTGAAACGTCACTGTCGCCGAGTGACCTCTGACCTTCAGGATGCCCGAGTCCTCACTGACAGTCTGCAGAGCCGCATGCACGAAGTGGACCGCAAACAGAGAAGGTCAGCGTCACCTATAATAATAATAATGGTACTATACCATCTTGCCGCTACGTCATCTTTGTCTGTATGTCAGTTAGCTCATTTTGTTTGAATCCATCTACTACTTTTGTGGTGTAGCAGGTCTTACATTTTTACTTTTTACACTTCCTTGCTGCTGTTATGGGCCTTATTTTGCACACTTGTATTTAATGCTTAAACATGTCTAATGTAAACGTGTGATCTTCATGGCTATCCCTCACTAGGATGTGGTCTTTGTTACAGTGTTTTGTTTGTGACCTTTCGTCCTATAGGTCAAATCCTGAGACTCATTTTAGAAGTTCAAAGAAGTAAAATGAAGGTGCTCTTTGGTAGGGAGCACAAAAGTTCAAAGATGAGAAAAGATCCAAATTTCTCCTCTGGCAAAAAAGTTAAAAATCCTTTATGCTAGTGGCTATTTTTACAATGAAATTCTCAAAGCACAGATAAGTCTTGTACATGTTAAAATAAAGTTGAGATACATCCCACATAGAGCAGCACAAACAGCCTTCTTTAAGTAAGTATAAGAGATCTATGAGCTATATTTGTTGTCTGCTGTGACTCTTTACTCATCTCTCACGATGGACTCATTAGTCACTGCAATATAAAGTCCTGCACCTTTATAGAAACAGTACAACATGACTAGAAGGAGAGAGAACTCAGAAATGTCTTCCGTATAGTAACACAGTTAAAATGACCATAAATCATAAAAAAGGAAACATTTATTTATTTATTTTGACAAAAATTGAAAAAAAAAAAAGCCTGGAATCAACACGTCCAATGTTTTTTTTTAACAATTCCTGGCTGATAAATTATAATTGGCTGTTAATTAAAGAAAACATCATCTGTTTTTACACATCATAAATATGTTCAGATAAATGTTGCTTTGGCCCGTTTAACAGCACAGCATCCACAGCATTTTAACCAGCATTTCTGCCTCCTCTTTCTGTGTGTGTGTGTGTGTGTGTGTGTGTGTTAATACAGGTTTGATAACGAGTTGACTCAGGCTCTGGAGGAAGCCGACAATGAGAGGGAGCAGAAGGACAAAGCCTTTCAGGAAAACGCAGCTCTGGGGGCTGAAATCTACAACCTGCGCCACAACCTGCAGGTGTGACTGTGTTTATATGTGGACTTCATGTGTGTTTTTGTATGGATTCATAAAAGAAGTGTTAAATGTTTAATCTCATATCTGAAAGTGATCTTTGCTAGTCCCAAAGACTGATGATAAAATAGTGCACTTTAAGGTAAAATGTCAAGGGCCGTCATTTATCAAGTGAACAGGGAAAAGAGCACAGAATTTATTGGGGATATTAAATTTGTCAGATGTGATTCATGAACCGGTGTTACTCCAGTAAAGTGAAACAAATTGCATTCTAAATTGATGAATTAGACACTTGTGTTATGGCAATCAACAGCACATTTGACTTATGACCGACACAAAATATTTCTGAAAGCTTGTTGCCCCCTGAAAGGTTAATGGTATCAAATATGAATGCAGAAAAAAGCAGCAAGAGATCTAAAGAAATCGTCGTAAATTAAACTTAAAAATTCATTGTCATCAAGTTAGGATTTGTGCCACTGTGATTTCTTATGCATGCAGTTTATATATGTGTAAATTCTTTCTGGTTTCTCTCCTCCTCTATGACAGTAAATTGGAAAATCTTTGGGTTGTGGACAGAACAAGATTTGCCATGTTAGGCTTTGAGAAATACTAATCAACAGTTTTCATCATTTTCTGACATTTCATGGGTAGACCTACTCAATGATTATTATTAATTATTAATCAACAATGAAAGCAAACTTTAGTTGCGACTTGACAATCAACCGATCAATGAATCTACAAAATGTTGCAGCTGTATTATATTTGTAATTGCCTTCATTTATTTTTTATAATTTGGAATAGAGTGATTTCTATCGTATTAGGACAGAAGTAGACATTTACTATACAATGGGACACAGTAAGCACTGTTTAATTTCTGTCTGTGTGCTTTGGATTCCACTCACAGGTTACAAAACCTGCTCAAGTATTCTTGAGCAAGTTTAGGCTATTTAACCTGCAGTATCTCCTGAGACATTGCAGCAACAAAATGTCAAAATCTCTAAGTTGGGACATGAGCTTAATGTTTTCGTGTGTGGGTGTGTGCAGGAGAGCCAGACAGAGGTGGGTCGTCTGCAGAAGCAGAAGGAGGAGCTGTGCGCTCAGATCCGTGACCTCAGCCTGCCCGTCGATCTCGCCGCGGAGTCACTGCCTGACCTAAAGAAGCAGCTTCGCCTCCTGGAGAGCCAGGCCAACGAGAGAGCGGAGGAAATCACCAAACTCACCGCCAGGATACAGCAACAGCAACAGGTGCTCAAAGTGAACACAGACATTCAGATAAACCTACTGGGTCACTGCATGTCATTTCAGATGGCTGTGTTGCTGCTGCACCATCTTAGATTTTGTTCAGAGTTTACTTATTTGTTATTCAGGAACCAATGATATTTTGAATAATCATCAGTTTTTCTGTTCAGTGTTCATTTCAAGTGTATGTAGGGAAACATTTGTCAAAGCAAAATAAGCGTTGTGTTGTTATTTCAATATGGAATCAACTTGTAACTTTTCACATATAATGACATTATATGAGTTTCTGTGGTCTTATGAGTGTGTCCTCATCACCATTTTGACATTGCAAAGTGGCAAGAAATGGAACCTTGGCTTACAATACTTGTCACACATCAAATTTCACTGATGCTTTAGGCATCAAAAGTTTGTGAATGTCAACCAAAGACTGCATTTTTAGTAGAAAGCATGGAAACATCCATATATATACACTTGCAGGAATTTTCTGGGGATGCAACACCATCCCCATGGGAAAATATCGCACTTTTTCAATTTTTAGGACCCAGTAATTAAATGTTTTGTCCCAGTTGTATTTGTTGGATATGCAATGTCAGTGCCTTACCTAATTGAATAGCTAATGGAGTTGTATTTCTGGGGATATTAAGCCTTCAAAATGATTTCCTAGGTAAGATGTTCTTTTTTGAGGAATACAAATTTCTCTTGTCTAAAAAGATGAAATTCTCACAATTCAGCTAATGTATTTTACAGAACCTAGTTTTGAGTTCCAAATAAGTAAGTAAACTCTGAGCCACATCTGTGTTGCAGCAACATATCTCCTGAAATCCATCTGAATTCATTAAACCTGTTGTCTGCTGCCCCTTTTTCTGACAGATACACATGCGGTTTGAGATGGAGATGGAGAGGATGAAGCAGATCCATCAGAAGGAGCTGGAGGATAAAGAAGAGGAGTTAGAGGATGTCCATAAGTCCTCTCAGAGACGGGTGGGTTTAACTCAGTCAAATTACACCTTTTAATACTGATGGCCATGCTTAGGTACTAGCTCTGTTTATAGTCTGAGGTGCTCTTACTGTTCTTGTCTTGTGTGTCTCGTGGATGCTTTGGGAGCTGACTTGTGTGTGTGAACTAAGTCTTCAAGTATCCCAGCATGCATTTCAGATCACCTGGGAGCCTGTGGTAGAATCTAATTAACTGCATGAGCTTGAATTTGGAACACTGTGTATTGAGAAAGCCTGTTATTACAGATTTTATTCATTACTGTCGCATGCATTTTTCAGACATGCTGTTTAGTTGTGAATATATAACTGGTCATTCTGTAAAAAACAGTCAGTGCCTCCTATCTGTCCCTGTCAAAATCAGCAGATTTTTCTGATAAAAACTTCAGTATATTCAATGAAGCCACGCAAAATTTTTGAATGTGCAACATTTCAACGAACCCCTGTGCAACTGAGGGGCCTATAACTTTGAAAGTGTTCATAGTATGTGGGTGAAGTTCTGCATCTTTATTAAATATACTTTAGTTAAATTACTGAAGAATTCAGGTGGGAACTGTTTTCAGATTTGTTTATATGCAACAACCCAATTTCTGTCTCCAGAGGGCCAAAGATAATCATGTAAGGTAAAAATGCAGTCTCTACCAACAGTGAACTGCACAGCCTCACTTGTGTAAGACAGCAGCATTATGTTGTTTCTGTACAGATAGCTCTTTTTCAATGTCAATGGAAGAAAGAAACCAATTCTTTTCACTTACTGATCCACTTAGTTTTTTTTCCCCTCTTTCACAATGTTATGCGGCCAGACAGCAGTTACATCACCGCTCTGCAGTTCCAATTAAGGACAACATTTCTACAGCAAACTCATCACTACTTGGTCATATCAATTGATTTAGCGTCTGTGACAAACAGTGCAAAATTTCACACAGCTGATATTGTGAATAACAGTTTTGAAGCCTTGAGTTTGGAATTCAGCTGTCACCATTGTCATTTTAAAACCTGATGCACATCCTAAGTCATACTCTGCTTTACTGTTTATTTTCCTCTGAATGTGGCCAAGATTTATAAAATGAACTTCATGCCGTATTCAAGGAGACTTGAAACTAGCAATTGAGACCATAAACCCATCAGGGAAAGGCTTATTGAGGTAACAGTTCAAATGAGTAGTAGGATAATATTATCAATAGGCTTCTATGCAGTCAGACTTCTTTGACAAACTAAAGGAGTCATCACCTGCTAGCTGTTAGAAACAAATCAGGATTAATGCACTTCCGAGACTGCTTCTATCTTTGAGTGCTGATAGTGGATGCAGGGTTGGAGGTGGCTCATGAGAAGTTGTATGAAACCACTGGTCATGCTGCAGCTGTAGTAGTAGCTGTAGGAGCAAATGATTGCAGCACAGTTTTCAGTAGTTATTATGGTACTGTAGCCTCTCCACTGCAAAAAGAAAAATGCAGTCACATCCTAGACTGTATATAAAAGATGAACGAAGCCTTGAAAGTACTTTAAACCTGCATTCTTTCAAACAGCCAGCAGAGTCTAAGTCTAATTGTATAGATGGGAAAATGACTTGCTAGTTTCAAGTCTCCTTCAATACAGCATGGTGTTCATTTTGTAAATTATGATTCGAGTTACAGTGAAATAGATGAAAAAGTGCAGTATGTTCTTGGACATGCATAGTGTCCAGGAATACAGAAAAAATTCAAAACACAAACCATTTGGTGTAATGGTGACTATATCCATCTTCAATATACTTTCTATTATCCAGATGCGTACTGCACAATATTGGAAAAATACTGACATTGCATATACAGTATATCATGACGTGAAAATATACAAGAATTTTTGTCAAATGACCTGAGTAACTATTTCAAAAGAATCAAACTCACTCTAGAATGATTGAGATGATTTTGTAGTACAGTGCATCTGCATTGAAAGTAAAATATAATTAGAAAAGAAAAACTGAAAAATACACTTTGCTACTACTTATGTGGTGTAACACTGCCAACGGAATCCAAAATAGTGTTTTGCTGTGGATGGCATTCTGATCTCTCTTTTCACTCATCATACAGAGCTTTGTGGTGCTGATTAAAGTGATCAGATCAATTGATTGTGTTTCCTCAGCATCAACTGTAGACAGAGAACCAAGAATGTCTTAAATTGGAACAAATGATCTGTCACACATAGTTCCCTTGTAGACTAGTCATGAAAAGTGAGAACTGTTCAAGTATTCCTATTCATTCATTCATTCATTCATTCATTCATTCATTCATTCATTCATTCATTCATTCAATTTAAGCAGGTAAAAAGTTGTAGCTTGTGTGAATTTGTTTCGGCAATGAAATATGAAATAGAAGAAAATACAGAAAATGCCAAAGGCGGCATCTTCAAATAGTTTAACAAATAACTAGAGTATTCAGTTTCCAATGATATTAAGTAGAAAGGAGCAGAATGTCCTCACAATTTAAGAAGCTACAAATATTTAATGCTTTGGCTTCCAAATGGGCTGCAGGGTGGCGCAGTTGGTAGCACTGTTGCCTCGCAGCAAGAAGGTTGCCGGTTCGCGTCCCAGGTGGGGGCACCGGATTCTTTCTGCATGGAGTTTGCATGTTCTCCCCGTGCAGCGTGGGTTCTCTCCGGGTTCTCCGGCTTCTCCCACAAGTCCAAAAACATGCTGAGGTTAATTGGTGATTCTAAATTGTCCGTAGGTGTGAATGTGAGGATTAAGCGGTGTATAGATGATGGATGGATGGATGGATGGATGGCTTCCAAATGGGATGCTAGCAGATTAGCTTGCAAGCTTGTCTGCCCCTTTATGTTACGTGACCCTGGTCTTGCTGGTCATAGTACACAGTAGTCATTTGTGTGGAACAGCGAGCTGACATGGTGCATAACCTGCAGCTTGTACAGGAGATCAGAGTGATCTAAATCTCCTCGATGAGAAGCTCCCATTTCTTCCTTCTGGCTTGAAGGTTTAAACCACCCAAACTTCCTGATTTATTCAACAGAACATGGTTTGGAGGCCTCGGTTATCCTGTGCCATTTATTTTTATGCTCCTTCACGGATGATGATGTTTTTATACTTTTCATTATGCATGCTGCTGCAGGGAAAATTTCCTGTCAGCGACAATAAAAGCTCATTCAGACCGGTCGTTTATCATTTTTCTGTTTGTGGTGTGTATAGCTGAGGCAGTTGGAGATGCAGTTGGAGCAGGAGTACGAAGAGAAACAGATGGTGATTCATGAGAAGCACGACTTGGAAGGACTCATTGCTACCCTGTGTGACCAGGTATGCCACACATATATTAACCTCAAATAAAGTACATGATAGCTTATACTGCACATATTCATGTTTTTCTTTGTGTCCAGCTTTGGAGCATTGTGCACCAGTGGATAGTAAGTAGGTTCAGCCATAAGATAGTTTATTTATTTATTTAAGCATTTTTACAGGCTCTAATGCTGGAAGAGTAATATTGATTTTAGAACACAGTGGAGCATTGATCCTGTTCTGAGTGGAACTTTTATTGAAACATACGCACTGACATGTACTCACACACCTCAGATGTCAGCCCAACACGGCTCACTGGCTATCATCATTGTCCTTCACAGAGTACCTCCTTTAACTCCTCAAGTTTTCCTATGTGATAATACAAAATGAAGATTAATTTCTCACAAGTTAGCACTTATTTATCATGTACAGTATACAACAGAAGTGAGTACAGCCCTGTGTAATATCAAAACTGTATCATCTTAGAGTAATCACGTTACTTCTAAGTTGAATGATAGAGTATTTACTGTGATGTTAAAATAAAAGATAAGTTTAGATTCGCTTTATTAAAATACAGGATCAACAATAGGAACTCAATGCAAGAAAATCATTACTGAGATTCAGGTCTTTAATTTATTTTGCACTGCACCTTACTTTTGATGACAGAAAAAATCCTTCTCAGTATGGAGGATACAGGATTTCTGGATAGATGTTCTGTCATTGGTCAGAGACTATTTTTTCAGCTGCTCTTTGCTGGACAGGTTGTGTTGCTCTACTTCTCTTTTTAAAATAACCCAAAGGTGTTCTGTCAGATTCAAGTCAGGCAACATCCTTGTCCAGGTCATAGTTTTCACTCTTCTTAAGTTTGACTTTGGCAGATGGTTTCAGATGGTTTTAAGGCTGGAACATTTTCCTTCTGCCAAGCTTTTACACACTGGGAGTCATCAGGTCAGCCAGTTTTTTACTGTATCCACAGGCATTTATAGTACATCTATGAACATCATCTCTCCAACACCTTTTGCACTCATGCATCCCCAAATTATTACACTTCTCCATGCTTCACCATCAGGACTATGTGTTCACTGTGGTAGTCCTGGTCAGGTTCACACCAAACATGCTTGACTCCAGCTGAGCCGAACAAATTTATCTTGATCTCATTTGACCAAAGAATGTGCTCCCAACATTCATCAGACTGCAGCTCTCATTAGTGGCACCATTGCTCTTTGTAGTTGGTCACTGATCTTTCTGTATCCTTCTCTATCTTGGTCTCACAAGTGTCACAGGTTGATTGTTCAGTTCCTCTGGCAATACTTTTCCATGTAGAGCCATGATGCAGACATGCAGATAATCACACTCCGTAAGTCCCTGTTCATGCAGTTCGCTTGATTGGAAATCACAGCAGTGCTCAGTTTGGTTTCACTGATCACCAGTTTATTTACTTTTGTTGCATTGACTTCTGCTCTGAGGCCTGTACTGATTAATGATAGAAATATTGTACTTGCTAACTTAGAAATAATCAACTTATTGAGAAGTGATGCAATTCAGAATCAATTGACATTTAAGTGATATAGCACAGCAGTTTACTCAGTACTGTTGTATGTCAACTCATTATGTCTAATACTGTATATTTATTGTGCATGACTTGCGCCCTCTGCAGATATTAAAGGCTATCAAAAACACAGCCGTTCCTATTTTCAGGTGATTATACACAGATGAAAACGTAATTATGATCGCTATTTTTCATTTCTTCTAATGGATCTGCTTAAATCTTACACACAGGAATAAATAATTTTGTCAGAGGGCCACAGCTCTCAACAGATGACTGCCGTAGATCACTATCACACTTGTGGGTTAATGTTCTCTAGATGATGGCTATGTCACTGCTGCATTACAAGCACCACAAAACAAGCATATGGAGCAAAGAGGCAGCAGCTAATTTAACACTCTGTCACTGTGAGGATGTAATTGGACTCTTGATAAGTGGCCAAGGAGCTGGTATGTGGCCAAGCTGGCAAACAGCTCCAAGTTTAAGTCTTTGAAAAGGTTTAAAGAAAAGAATATGATTTTTTTTATATAGCCCAAAGACTACAGTGTAAGTTTGTGTAAAACTTGTACCAAGAAAATGCTAGTTGAGCTGAATGTAAATAGGTGTAACAGCATTAAAACAAGACTACTGGGAACAATTGAGGATTTTAGAATTTTAAAGGAAAGAAGGAATAAATTATACTGTAATCCCTGGGTACCTGTGTGGTTTAAAACAGAAAACAGCCAAACATATTACAGCCCACATACCTTATTCTTGCTGTGTAATGAAGAGAATTAGACAGATTAGTTGCGTTTGATCCACTCACATACAGAATATATTCTTTAAATCACATAACGGTATTAAGCTGCAGTTTTTCAGCCTCAATACATTTGAGAGGCTTTTGCTTTTCATTACAGTGCACCCTCAGTGCCTGGACAGACAAGCCTGCTATAGGAGCACAGTTTCAAAACCTGTGTCTTTATCTGAAGTAACACAGAGACATGTTGTATTTCACATTACATGGTGATGATAAGGTCTGTGAGCTGTTATGTAATGAGTGGCTTTCGTTTTTGTTTTTTTTTTAACTTTTGTTTCCCAGTATGTACCCTATAGTAATGGACTGCTTTATGATTGTAATGCAAATCTTGCTAGAGCAGGTGGTAGGGCTGAACAATTAATCAATTTCAAATTCAAATTGTGATTTGAAACAGTGCAATTAACAAATTGCAAAAGCTGCAGTTTAGGATATGGGTCATTCTATGATAAATCATGAAAATTTTGGAAAACTGTTAAATCTTTGGATGAGAATCATACTGTTGCTGAGTTGCCACCATGCATTGTAAAAGATTTGATCCAAATTTCTGATAAGGCAGAAATGTTGAGTTGTTTTAATGAACATTTCATAGCCTCATATTCCATATTTGATTGTGTTAGCAGAACTCACGATTATCCTGCTACATGTTGGTCTGATGACCATCCCTTATCAGACCAGTCTTTTAGTTTCACTCCTTTCACCGTCTTCGAGGTGCATAAAGCCCCGAGTCTCTTGAACACCTCTAAATCAGCTGGTCCTGATAAATTAGAGCCTTACTTTCCACACTTTGCAGCTGATTTTATTGCTTCATCTTTAACACATATTTTTAATCTGTCTCTTATAACCAGTGAAATCCCTAGTATATATAAATCTGCTTTTGTTCTCCCCCTGTTTAAAGGAGAAGAACATAAGCAGATTATTCAGAATTGAATAATTACTGTCCCATCTCCCAACTGTCTGTCTTGGCAAAGGTTCTGGAACAACTAATCAGTAATCAAGTCAAGGAATTTCTTAACAATATTTTATCTGTTTATCAGTCTGGTTTTAGGAAATCACATAGTACAACTACTGCAGCTTTAAACGTAATAAATGACTTCATTGATTCTCTTGACAGTAAGCATCATTGTGCAGCTCTTTTCATTGACTTATCCAAAGCCTTTGATGCAGTTGACCACACACTTCTAAAACAAAGACTTCTCAGAATCGGACTTTCTCCACATTCTGTCAACTGGTTTGACAACTATCTCTCACATAGAACTCAGTGTGTACAAGTAAATGGACTCACTTCCAGTTGTTTGGAAATTTCCAAGGGTGCTCCACAGGGGTCGGTTCTAGAACCACTCTTCTTTATTTTATACATAAACAACATTACAGATAATGTTTCCAATGCCAATTTTCGTTTTTATGCAGATGATGCTGTGATATACACCTCAGCATCCACACCAGAATTGGCTCTATCCCAGCTGCAAACTGCTTTTAATATTGTCCAGTCAAATTTCTTTGACCTAAAAGTTGATTTAAATTCAAGCAAAACCAAATTCATGTTGTTCTCAAATTCCAAGTCAAAACTACAGAACCTGCTTGCAATCACCTCTTCTCAGGGTGTACAGATTGAATTAATGTCTCAATATAGATACCTTGGAATTTTACTCGATGACTGTCTCTCTTTTGCACCTCACATCCAGCAGCTGGCAAAGAGACTAAAATTTAAACTGGGATTTTATTTTAGAATGAAGTCTTGCCTGTCTTTTGAGGCCAAAAAGAGAGTGGCTGCTGCCACTTTTATGTCTGTGCTGGACTATGGAGATACGGTATACATGAATGCTTTTGCTCAAAGCCTGAGTGTTTTAGATTCAGTGTATCGAGATGCTTTCGGGTTTATCACCAATTTTAAGGCTTTTACGCATCATTGTTTGCTGTACTCTCGTGTTGGATGGTCAGATTTGACCACACGAAGGAAAAACACTGGCATATTTTAACTTAGAAATGTATTTTAGGCTTGCTTCCTCGTTATTTACAGGTTTTTATTAGTTCAAAAGCTGCAAGTGGTTACAGTCTGCAGTCCCAGGATCTATTGCTACTGTCTGTTCCCAAGGCTAGAACTGAATGGGGAAAGAAAGTTTTTCAAATTCGCTGCTCCCTCAACCTGGAACATTTTACAAAAAGATCTGGAAATGCAAGAGGTGGTTTCTTTAAACACTTTTAAAGTGTTTCTAAATTACTTGGAGGCGAAAACATCAGTCTGTAGATGTTTTGAAAGGTAATTATTTTTGCTAGTTATGTTTCTGATCTCTACTGATATGTTTGTTTCTTATCTTCTAAATGTAATTTCACCATGTATTATGAGTATGATGTCTGTGTGGATGCTGTTGTGACCTTGTCTGTCTGTCAATTGTGCTGCTGCCTGTCTTGGCCAGGACACTCTTGAAAAAGAGATTTTTAATCACAATGAGCCTTCTCCTGGTTAAATAAAGGTTAAATTAAAAAACAAAAAACAAAAAACAAAACCAAAAGACCAAAAAAAAAAAAGTACCAATGTTGTTTTCTCCATATCTCAGCCTTAAGCTACATTAACAAGGTTGCAAAATGCCTATGTTAGATTTTATTTATTTATTTTTTTATTTTATTTTATTTTACAGGGAAGTAATCTTAGCTAGAAGATGAGCCTGGTATTAAAATGTAGGTAAAAGTGAGACCTTTCATCTGCTATAACTTGTTTTAACCAATCACGTATTACACATGGTGATATGATGCTTGAAAGTTTACCCAAAACTATGTTTTTAAGGTTTTCTCCAATGAATTACCAGAAAACAGTGTACCAAGTTTTTGTTTCTACAACTCTTTGTCACAGACATTAAACTGCTGCAGTTATGACATTGAACTATGATATATCCCATACTAGTGATGTTCCGCGTAGGTTGTAGAAAAAAAGAAAAAGATGTGTTTTTTTTCATCCTTGAAAATTTCATGTCTATTTTCTGTACTTATAAAGCCATTAAGAACACACATTAAAAAGTGTGACATTTTAGCCACCTTTATGTACTTAAAGGCCCTGTAACTCTGAAAATATTTTTAGTGTGAAGGTAAAAATTTTGCACGGCTTCATCAAATATGCTAATGTTATCATACACTAAAAATCAGCTGATTCTGAAGAGGTTAGGCAGAAACTTTATTTAGATTTGGTTGATGTTATTGAAACGACCCAATCATGTTATTCAATGTGTGTAACCCAGGGTTTTAAATATTGTGTCTACTGCTTTGCAAATTCCTCCTTGCGTTGCAGTCATGTTTTGGTGGTGTGTTATGAGGCCATGCTCCATGACATATTTTAATTCTATTACACAGTGAAAATCGAGCTAAAATCACAATATGTGTCATAAAAATTGCAATTAGATATTTTGACCAAATTTTTCAGCGCTAATGGGCAGTACATAGTTAAAGTGCAGTTCCTAGGATTTAAAGCTAACCAGAAAGATGGAGTCAACAATTGAAGCTGAAAATAAGAATATAGTTGATTTTTACAATACAAAACCGAAGCAAGTCAGATCTCCCACTGTTACTGAAAAAGAATTGAATCACATAATGATACAGAAACTTCAAATAGTTTTTTGCTTCTTTCAATGCAGCATAAAGTCCTGCACCTCTAAGGAATCAGTAGGTGTTACCAATACTGGAAAAAATGGAGGCTCCACATGTTATAGATATTTTACTATGTGCACTTTTACCGTCTCTATAAACTTTCCCCACTAGTCTGAACATCAACTGTGGAGAAACCTTTCACCATGCTGACTGTATCTTCCAACAACTTACTGATATCTTGCTCTGCTGTATTCCATGTTTGAGCCATGCTACGAATTTGATTGATCCACTATATTTAATGTTTCTCTTAGTCTCTCTTGTAATCTTCTCTCTGCTCTGTGCAAACATCACCTGCAATTCATGTGAAAACGGAATTTTTGACTTCTGGTCAAAACCGAATCCGTCATTGGCAATCTGTTATGCTGAGGAGCACATTTATTTTATATTATTTTATTTGCATAATCTGGTGCAAATGCTTTATTTTTGAGAATTTTTAAATGAGACATGCCTATTAAATGGATTTCAATGAAATATGGCAATTTTAAGCTTAAATTTGGGCTGTATCACATTTCCTGCTGTTTTTGTGATTTGTGATGGATAAACTGTGTAATTTTGGCAATTTTTCTCAACAAAAATATGGCTTTAAACCTGCCTGGAGGTTTTTGGCTTCAGAAGGTTCATACTACACAGTAAAATAACATGCTTTTCCTGCGAGACAGGAGACGACACAGAATCAATGAAGGTCGATATTGCGTGGGTGTGAATGGTCAGAAATCCAGCAGCAATGTGATTAAAAAAAATAGTCCCACACAGGACTCTACACTCTACACCTGTATGTACAAAAATGCTTTGTTACTTTCTTGTTCTCTGTAGTCTTGTGTTATTCCACTGCACCTGTTTTTAAATACCAGTTATAGAACCAGCAAGAATTTTATTCTCCCTGCTCTTCTACTCATACAACAAAATCATGCTGTTTTAGGGGAAGGATGAATCTGAGGTGTCTCCTCTTGCAGGTGGGACACAGAGACTTCGATGTGGAGAAGAAACTGAGGAGAGACCTGAAGAGGACTCATGCCCTGCTCGCCGATACCCAGCTGCTCCTCGCCACCATCGACAGCTCAGGGCAGAACCTGCCAAACGGCAGCAAAGAACAGATAGAACGGCTGCACTGCCAGGTACTTTCACCTGTACACACACCTTTATCTCAACACACCTCTGCAATGTCACCTTCTGCTCTGTGAGAAACAATCTGTGTCTCTAATTAGCTTGAGGAGAGTGAAGCGAGACGACTCGAGGCCGAGAGTGTTCAGACGACTCTCTCCCAGGAGCTGGATAACACTCAGATTGAACTGGAAAATATCTGCAAGCAGAAGAGTGTGGTGAGTGTTTTTCTTTTTCAAGGTGCATCTGCAGACAGATGACAGAAACAACAGGAGCCTAAATAATACAGGGCATAAGAGCGGAATGGATAGTTTGATAAACTTGATGTGAGAAACTATTCCTCAGTATCGTCAAAATACCAAATGAAGCAATGCCCTCTTAAAGTTGCATCTGATTTTTTAACATAATGGCACAGTTAGGACAGAAGCTGTTTGTTGTTAATATTTCCAAAGGTTTGCAAAAGCTCTGTCAGGCTGCACTGAGATTGTGAGTGAACAGCTCTTTTTAATTCCAGCCACAAATACTCAGTTGAATGGAGGTCTGGACTCTGACAAGGCACTTCAGAATATTCACCTTGCTGTTTTTTAAACCTGTCTAGTTTGAGCTTTACACTTTGGGTCATTGTCTTGCTCCAAAACGAATCTTTTCTCAAGTTGCAGTTCTCTTGCAGACTGCATCAGATTGTCCTCAGAGATTTTCCTATACTTTCCTGCATTCATTTTACATTCTACCTTTACAAGCCCTTTAGGTCCTGATGCAAAGAGGCATCGCCACATCATAATACTCCCGCCACCATGCATCACGGTGGGGATAGTGTGTTCGGAAAGATGTACTGTGTTTGACATCCGCTAAACATAGTGTCTAGTCTGACAGCCAAAAAGCTTAAATTTGTTCTCACCAGACAAAAGAACCTTCTTCCAGTTGACTTCATGTCATTGTCTTCCACATGTCTTCTGGCAAACTCTAGATCGGATTTAATGAGCTTCTTTCAACAGTGGCTTTCTTTTTGTCACTCGTCTATTATGGTTTAACTGGTAAAAACAACCCAGGCAACAGTTGATGTATGTACAGTCTACCACTTCAACTTGTAACTCCATCAATGGACTCATAGGTGTCTTGTTTGCCTCCCTTACTAGTCTCTTTCTTGCACAGTCCCTCAGTTTTTGAGGAAGGCCTGTTTTCGGCAGATTTGTGCCATGTTTCTTACATTACCTAGGTAAGGTGTTTTTTTTAACTGTACTTCAAGGGCTATTTGAAGACTTGAAAAATGTCTTTACTAATCCCTTCACTTATGCTTTTCAGTAGCCTTTTCACTGAGTTGCTTGAAGTGTTCTTTTGTCTTCATGGTGTAGTTATAGGCAGGAGTGCTGATTCAACAGTGACTAGACCTTCAAGATACAAGTGTCTTTATGCTAGAATCACTTGAGACACATTTACTGCACTCAGATGATCTCCATTTTACTAATTGTGTGGCTTCTTGCACCAGCTGGCTGCACTAGGTTAGGTTAGGTGAGTCACTTAAAACAGGGTTGAATACTTGCAATCATTTTCTTCACAGTTTCTATTTTTAAATAATTTTGTATAAATCAATTTTCAGTTTCACGAGAGATTTTTTGTGTGTAAATTTCTGTGATAAAAAGGTAAATTAAATTGACTATAATTCAGTGATATAAAGCAATAAAATTGGAAAACATCCAAAGGAGGGGTGAATACTTTTTATAGGCAATGTACACATATGAAGTTTAGATAATATACATTTAGCCAAAACAATAAAACCCAAAAACAACTATGAAAGAAATAAAGTGTGCAAAGAGTTAGGCTAATACTTTAGGTCACAGAAACTCTCAGAAACATTGTTCTATGTGCCTTTAGCTTTTTGGTTTGTTTGTTGTTGTTGTTTCTAGTAAAACTGCAGATTGTTATTTGTCATCTGGATTTTGACAGCCAATACCACTGTTTAGATCAAACACACATTGTCAAAGTGAAGAATACATACACAAAAGCCCTCTTACCTCTTTGTTTTTGTGACTCCAGGTGGATGAGCAGTTGGCTGTGCTGCAACACGAGAAGACTGACCTGCTGAAGAGGCTCGAGGAGGACCAGGAAGACCTCAACGAACTTATGAAGAAACACAAAGCGCTCATTGCACAGGTGCTGCTTTGCACTTTGTGGCTTGTGTTTAAGCCCCATTTAATACTTAATCATCCCATATCTTTTCTTCCTCCTTAGTCCTCCAGTGACATCTCTCAGATCAGAGAGCTGCAGGCTGAACTTGAGGAGGTGAAGAAACAGAGGCACTCTCTGCAAGAAGAGGTAACCTGTGTTTGACAATCAGAAATTATGTGCGGCACTACGAGGTTTATAAACCAAATTTGCTGTTTAACCTGCCTAAGAAGACACTGTTGTAGATTTCTGGATCATTTAACATCCTTGTCGCAGATCTTAGTATAACTGCAAGCTTCAGGTGGAGCACTGAGATATTTGCATAATTTGGTTCTCCAAATGCTTTTGGCTCACTCCTCTCTCCACCTACTCATCATGCAGCTCCAGCAGAGTGTGTCAAGGGTGCAGTTCCTCGAGTCGTCCACTGTGGGGCGTAGCATCGTCAGTAAACAGGAGGCTCGCGTATGTGACCTGGAAAACAAATTAGAGTTTCAGAGAGGGCAAGTCAAGAGGTTTGAGGTGAGATCAGATAATTTTTTCAAACTTAAACATATAATTATTAACATGTCTGTGACTGTATTCCCTGCATGGTTTTATCTGCCACTTCTGTGTTGTGTGCAGGTGCTGGTGCTGCGTTTAAGGGACAGTGTGGTTCGTCTGGGAGAGGAACTGGAACAGAGCGCTCAGGCCGAAGCTCGTGAGAAAGAGAACGCCCGCTACTACCAGCAGCGCCTGCAGGACATGAGGCTGGAGATGGAGGAGCTGTCCCAGAGAGAGCAGAACAGCAGCCGCAGACGCATGGAGCTGGTAATGAGTTTAAACAACTGTTGCATGCAGCTTCATAACAGTCGAACCATATATGATGCTACCAGTGGCTTTTTCCATACAGTGTCTCAATACAGTTACACCCAAAACCTATCCATACACACTGCAGTGAAAATCTGCCAACAAACAATACAATTCACCAGATGTCTTTCTGGTGTTTTACTTCATCAATTTGCAATAGGCTTATGAGCATATGAGGATCCAAAATTGCCACAGCAAAAAAGATTGCAACACTTTTTCTGTACTTGCTGTAAAGGGGAGAAGAATTGTCCCGCACAAGCTTGTTATCTCTTGTTTTTCTCATGACTGAGTGAGACTTGTGCACTGCGGCTGCTCACAAGACAGGTTAAGGCTTTGAAGCCATATCCAGGCCAAATATTGATTTGTGCTGATTTTTTATTTGACCAAAGGTTTCTTCTTGCTGGAAATAACATAAACAACTGACAAAAGACTGTAAGACATATTGTTAGAGATCGCAAATATAAATTGAAACTGTTTCTTTGTTTTTTGTGCTGAGGAACACAAAGCTAAATTGATTGCAGTCGTTTTATTTTTGGAGAAATTTTGAATGTAGATTAAAGTGATTTTAATGAAATATCATGATTTTAGGTTTAGATTTGGGTAATCTTCCTGACAGAACCACACATAACACCTGATTAGTTTAAGCCCCATTGGAAAACTGAAGATTCGATCAAATTCTTTGTATAGTTTATAGTTTAGTCTTTGTATTGTATAGTTCCTTCCTCTGATAAATGGTACAATTATGGTGATTTTTCTGAAAAGGTACACATGCCTTTCAAACCCAGAAGTGGGATTTGGTGTTCAGAGCTTTAAATAAAGACTAAGGAATGTAGCGGATGAAATCCCCTGCCTTGGGAATTTTGGTAAATGCAGGGGCATAATAGATCTTCAGCTGCAGAGCGAGTACCTCCTCTCTACCTGGGCAGTAAACACTCTACTACAATGGCATGCAGTATTTGGGTCCAAATTTCTGTGAGTGTGAATAGCTGAGTTGAAAACGACGGATTGATCTCCAAAATGCATAATGTTAAAGAAGAAACCTGTCAAAAAAAATTTAATAGGATTAGAATTTTGTTTTTGTTTTTTTGCTAAAAAAAAAAATAAAGATAGGAACACCATGCAAAGACCTGGACTGCCAAATAAATTTAACCAAGTCCTCAGAACTTAATGGTTAAGTAAGTCACTGTCACTTTATGTAGCCCATTTAAAACAATAGAAGCTAAGCTAAGTTGCTTTCCAAAAACACTAAGATTATAAGAGTATGAAAAGAGAATAACATCATAAACTCACCTTACATATTTAAGTATTCCCATTAGGCAGCTATGGCATTATATGCTATACCAAATGAACTGCATAATGTAAAAGCATTAGCTTGTTGTAATTAGAAAGCGATTTTAACAGAGAATGAGTCGTAGCTAGAAGATGAGTCTATGATCAACATATAAAAATGAGACCATTCATTCACTATAACTTGTTTTGACCAACCACCTATCCTACATGGTGATATGACCCTTGAAAATGTACCCAAAATGCATTTTTAAGGTATTCTTTGTACCAATGCGTGTTTCTACTAGGCATGCCACAGACATTAAACTGGTGCAGTTTTTCTATCTCCTGTTCTTATACAGTTAAAAAAGCACATTGATGCTGGAAAAACTGATGCAAATTTTTTAAAAAGCATAGGATTTGGACCTACCCCAATGTGCTCCAGGGGCCTGTAACTCTAAAAAATATTCATAGTAAGAAGGTAACATTTTGCAGAGCTTCATTAAATATACTGAAGTTATTGTAGATTAAAAAAAAATATATATATATATATCAGTCTAGGGGGTAAGTTGAGATCTTTACTCAGATTAGTTAGCTTTTTACATGATGACCCAATGCCAAATTACCTCACTAATTTAAAATCATTTGCTTGTTGTAATTTGCCAGTTAGAGCAATGGCTTGTTCACAGTCATCGTTAGAAACCTTTACAGCTTTTGAATGACTGACTTCACAAAGCTTGTCCCAACAATCAGCTGCCGCCAGCACTCTGAACATTAAAATGATTGATGTCCACAAAGCAGAAGAGGCTGTAAAAAGACAGCAAAGTGTTTTCAGAAAGCTGTTTCCTGAGTTCCTTATGTAATTAAGAAATGACCGTTAACAGAACCAATGGAGGTCAAGCTTAGGTCTGGGAGAAAACTTTCAGAGCCCGTAGGATTGTTAGAAAAGCAAATCAAAACCTCTGTTTGACTGCAAAGTGCTTCAGGAAGATCGATCAGAGTGTGGAGTGGTGCTGCTCTGTTCTACTATGCAGCTGCACAAGTATAACCCAGAGAAATTCTTTTCCTGGAGCCCTACCACAAAATAAACATCTAAACAAGTTAGATGCATTTTGGAAAAAAAAGTCCTGAAGACTAATTGTGTTAAACTAGAAGTTTTTGGCTGCAGTTAGCAAAGCTTGGAGAGAAAGGGTGCAGAGTTTCATGAAAAGAACACGTCTAACTGGTATGCAGGATGGATAGATGATGATGATGATTCAGGCTTGTGTTGCCGCCAGTGACACAGAAAACAATTCACTGGTAGAGGGAGCAATAGATTCAGTTAACTGCAGCAAATTGTGGAAGAAAACATCACTGAAAATAACACTGCTTCCACAACAGTAACATTGTCCTTAAAACATCTGAAAATCCACAGTGGACAATTTGGAGAGGAGCAACCTGAAGGTTTTGTCCTCAGTCCTTCAACCTGAACGTTTTGGAAAAGATGTGGATGGACATCAAAGAGCAGGGCAGCAGGACAGTCTGAGACACTGACACAACTAGATTCCTTTTTCAAGAGGAACTGAAAGCCTCTGAGCTACTACAAAAAGCCTTTACAAGCTTTGATATTTGCCCAGGGGGCTACTGCTGAAGCACTGACCATCCAGGGTGCCCAAACTTCTGCTTCAGGTCCTTTCTCTTTTTTTGTTATTTTCAAACTTTACAGTTTACAGTTTTTACAGATGGAAATAAAAAAATAATGTTGCTTAAAATATTAAAGAAATGTTTCAGCTTTAGCTTTGTGCCTTTTGGAAATCAGGTCATCTTATACTCACTGAGCTGTTCACAGTAGCAGAAATTTGGACCCAAACTTATGCACACCACTGTAAATACAAACCCCCACAGGCCGTTACACACATCTGAGCTGTGCGGCAACATTTTAGAGAGGGGCTGGGACTTAAAAAGCCCTGGCAAGAAGCACATCCTCCAGGCTATGATTGAAAATGCAGTGAACAGTCACATTTCGGCTGTTCTCATTAACAAAAACAACAGCTGGTCTATTATCTGGAACATTTGAAAAACATCACTTTCATTACTGCAGAGTGAGATCATAGCAGCAGTAACAGCACGAGGGAGGGCTTCTGCACACTCAGAGCATAAACATGCAAACACTGAAACAGTTACATAGTATGGCTCATCTGAGAATGCATTTCTATTCTTATGTGATATATATTAGTTTAAAAATGTAACAAACATGTAACAACAAACATTCACAATCAGGCTAATATACACCTATTAATTAAATAATTGGTCTTTCATTAAATCAGATAAGATATTAAGATAGATTTTTTTTTTCCCCAAAAAAATACTGTTTTTTTTTTTTGACATTTTAACCCTATTCAGGACTTTCATGTTTCCATACGTAGATGGTCTTTCAGGGGTGCAAAATAGTTGTTGGTATTTATTATAGACTTTTATACTATGTTAAATACATTTTCTGTTAAGGTGACATATTTTTGGTTCCAAATGCATGACAAATATCCCTAATTATATTTTTAAAAAACATCTTAAAAAATAAAAAAATAATACGTGTCACCTAAACCAAATGGCCTGGGGTCCAAAACCCCAAAAGTCCTGAATAAGGTTAAAATAGTTTTATATGATTTATATTGATCTCTAACTTTGAAGAATAATTTAACAGCTAGCATGTCATTTTACTGTTTTGGGACTTCATTTCTAGCAGAAATGGCACTGTACTTAGTAAGGTAGTCAGCGAGATGAGTTCAGACATTCAGACAGGCCTTAAACAAGTCAGCAAAAATAATGAAGTCCAACAATAATATGCAGAAGTCTGTGGTCAATATCAGGGACCAGCTGGTGGGGTCTATTATAATATAAAAAAAAGTGCAATATTAACATCAGAAATGGGGTTCAGTACAAAGACATATGCAGGTATCTCAGATAACAACACAATATCAAGTCAATTTTTTTTTTCAAGTGTCCTCAGGTGTTGCTAATAGTGGGGAAATAGTGACTCTACATACTCTAGATATTTGCCTTAATACATTTTGTTTCCATGCACACTGTATTCTGAGTTTCCAGTGACTCCTATAACTCTGAATTTTCTATGATGGTGTCACTGAAACTCATGGGTCTTTGTCACAAAAAACAATCTTGCATTTTGGTTCTTTTACAGATTTATTTAGAGGCTTCTGAAAAAATGACAAAATCTGCTGGGTCAAAAGTACAGAAATGTTTTGTTAAACATCCTTTGGCCATTTTCACCTCAACTGGGCACTTTCGGTAGCCATCCACAAGCTTCTGGTTGTATCTTTAACCACTCCTCTAGATGGAATTGGTGCAGTTAAACTAAATTCGCTGGCTCCCTGACATACATTTGGTTCTTGTTTTCCACAAGTTCTTGATGGGGTTTAAGGATTTTGAAGAGAACAGTCAAAATGTTTAACTGTCGCCTAATTTAGCCATTTCTTTACCACTTTTGATGTGTGGTCATTGTCATGTTGGAACACACAGCTGCCTCCAAGGCCCAGCCTACTGGCTAATGATTTTAGGTTTTCCTGAAGAATGTGGAGGGAATCCTCACTCCTCATTATTCAGTTTACTTTGTGTGACGTATGAATTTCACTGTCACCAAAACAGCCCCAGAGCATGATACTGCCACGACCATGTTTGACGTTAGGTTTAGTGTTCTTGGGATTAAGGGCCTCAGCTTCTCTCCTCCAAACATATTTCTGGTCATTGTGGCCAAATAGCGAAATTTTTGTTTTACCTGACTAAAGAAATGTCCTCCTTTTCTTTATCCATGTGATCAGCAGCAAACTTCAGTCAAGCTTTAAGGTTCAGTTTCTGGAAGAAGGGCTTCCTTCCTTCAAGGTAGCCAAAATAAGCTTGACTGTGGACACTGACACCTGTGTGTTTCAGCAGCTTCCAATTCGTTCCAGATCTGCTTTTTGGTGATTCTTGGTTGACTCTTGACCATTCTGACCATTTGTGTTTCAGCAGCAGGTGATGCCTTGTCTGTTGTTCAGATGATTTTTGGATCTGTAGCTGCTTTGAAATAGCACCAAGTGCCTTTCTTGACTTGTTCAAGTTAATGATTTGCTTTTTCAGATCTGAGCTCCTCAGTCTTTCCCACTGTAAATTTACTTAGAGGAGTCAGCAGCTGTAGTCAAATGTAAGCACTAATTAAAAGTTAAGAGGCCATGCCACCAAGAAAAATGGATTAACACAATTTTCTACACCACCGAAACTGATAATTGAAGTTTTGTCCGTATAGTTTTGAAACACCAGATATTATATTATAGCCATCCATATATATATATATAATTTTGTTTTGTTTTATTTTTTTAAAAAGATAACATGTCTCTTCAAACTAACCCACATTTTGGGGGGTTCAGAGAGTTTATTAGCCCAGAAATATGTGAAGTGATTCTAATGATTTTTGTAGCACAAATGCTTGTATGGTCTGCTGTTCATTATTCTACCTAACAAATACTAAACTACAGGCATTTGATGGGTAATAAACATTTTTTACTCACTGACACTGTCAGACTACCAGACATGTTCTTGTTTTTGCTCACAGCAGATTTCTTTGTGACCTCTGAGCCAAGCTGAGAAAAAGACAAGGAGCTTCAACACTTATTCAGTTATTAGCACAAAGCCACACACAAGGATGCCCTTTAACAACCTACTAACCAGCTAAGCAAACACACACACACACTTACGTGAACAGACATATTCATACACACAACAGTAAAAGCACACACACTCCTCCTCCTTCTCTCCCCTCCCCTCCACCCTTCTTCACGTCATTTTTCCCTCATCCTGCCCTCTCTCTCTGACTGTGATTAATCCTCATTGTCTCTTCAAGGTTATGGGCGCGCACACACACACACACACACACACACACACGTGTCTCCATGACAACTGCTGCACCCACACCCGTCTCCTCAAAGCCAACAAAGCCAATAACTTTGAAAGCCTAGAAGCTTGTGTGTGTCTGTGTGTGTGTGTGTGTGTGTGTGTGTGTGTGTCTAGGTATGTGTGACAGGATGCTAAAGAGACAAAATAACAACAAAAACAACAACAAAAAAATAGACGAGATGAATTAATAAATCATTCTGTTCCCCCAGTGTCAGTGTGCGTATGTAACAATTTTCTCCTAAATAACCCGGGCAGCAGCAGCAGAGCTCAGGTCACAGGAGCGTGTGTGATGCCATCGGACATTCAGTGTTTGACTGATGAGGTAATATGGGCTCAAATGAAGGTAATTGCTGTGGCGGATTGGGCCCCGGGGTCTGTACAGGTTGCCAGCTTGGCCTGTTGAAGGAGATATTCATATACACAAATGTTCTCTAATCTCATGATGTTTGTTTACAAGAAAGAGACCTGTTTGGCCTGTTAAAAAATCATTCTTCTCTTGCAAGACATTCCAAATGTGCGCATGTCTAACCAGCAAGTTTTTTTTTAGGAGTAGGACAAAAAACTACAGATCAGGAAGAGGTCAGCATACTTTAAGGATCCAAACGACTAATTTAATTCTCCTTTAACCCTCTGAACTAGGGATGGTAATGATTAAGGGTTAACTGATTACTTGCCATTAATGCCTTAACTGATTACGAATAGAATAGAATAGAATAGAATAGAATAGAATAGAATAGAACTTTATTGATCACTTTGGTGGAAACCTCAGGGAAATTGTTGATAAATACAGGAACCAATAAGGAGGAAGACAACGAAATTGTACGTCAGAAGATATATTGTAGATTAGTTGTAGCACCTGGAGCCTTGGACTGCGACCAGTTCCATGTTGGCAAGCAGAAAGCATTGTTGGAGTTAAGGGAGTCAAAGGGCCACAGTGACAAAGACTTCTGTGGCGGTTAATGGCTACCAGGCCAGAGCTTATATGATCAAGGCAAAGTCTGCTTGGACAGTCAAGTTGAGTGACTTATGAAACGGTCTGATGGTACAAATAGCTATATTGTATATTGACAATTGGCATATTTTAGGTATGAAATATTATTAAGTTATTATTGCTTGGTAACACTGGTCATTATCAGTTAGGACATTTTTAAAACAACCAAAATTACTTACAAAATTACATCAGCCTAAAACTGTAAAAAGAGAAAAAATAATAAGATTTTCACCTGTCAAATGGTCCTTGAACTGTATGATAGATGATCAAATTTCATCAGGTCATAGTCACTCTTGAGTCCACAAACGTTTTTTAATCTTGTGATGTTTTTTGCAGGAGATGCAGGTGGAGGAGCTGACTGCTGTCAGACAGGCGTTGCAGGCCGACCTGGAGACATCCATTCGCCGCATTGTCGACCTACAGGCCGCGCTAGAGGAGGTGGAGTCGAGCGATGAGAGTGATGCTGAAAGGTAATTTGCTTTCAATGTTTGTCTAAACAATTATTAATCTGTGTTTAAACTCAACTTGTCACCACTCTGCCCTTCAATGCAGCGTTCAAACTGCTGTGGAGTCCTTGACTCGAAAGAAAGACCTGTAAGAAACTCATGACTGCGTGTGACTTGGTAGTGTGTGGCTCTGCTTACAGATGCGCCCTGAACATCAGGCCTTGAATTGTCATTGTTAAGCGTCTCAGAATTCAGAAAATATGCACTGTGCCATCTCAGATTTTGTAAAAGTTAATTGATTTTTTGTTTGGGACCCAAAGGTTCTTGTCTTGTGATAGCAGTTGCTAGGATGTTTAAAAGGTAATATTTATTGTAACGTGTTAAATTATCATCAGTTTCTCTGCTCAGTGTTAATTTCAAGTATATGTATGGGAAAGTTCGGTATGGCAAAATAGGCCTCATATGTTGTTAAACTTCAAAATGAAAACAACATGGAGGCAACTTGTAACTTTGCACATGTAATTACAGTATATTGATTCCTCTGCTCACCAACTTTTGTGGTCCTGTGAATGAGTCCACATGACCATTTTGACATGTTAAAATAGCAAAAAGCTGCAAAGTTGCCATAAATTCTGCTGATGTCAGAGGTCTCAAGAGTTGGTGAAATGTTGACCAAAGACTGAATTTTAGTGTATATACACTTAGAGAACCTTTCTGGGGCCCCAATACTGACCACGTTTTTTTCCAGGGCAAATTAATACAAATTTAGTTCAGTCATTTTGATCTGCTGGAAACTGCTTTGTCTGTGTCCTCACCAAATTCAATGGCCGTGGGAGTTTAATTTCTGGAGATATTCAACAATAGAAATGGTTTCCGAGGTTTATTTGAGGGTGAAAATACATGAAATCCCAGGTGTGGAAACAAATTAAATTCTCAGAATTTAGCTATTATATTTTTCATAACTTAGTTTTTGGTTCTAAACAACAAATGACCAAACTTTAAACAAAATCTGAGATGGTGGAGTAATACTATTGTCTGAAATGACACAAACTGACCCAAATATGAAAGAGAGCTGTTTGACCTAAAAGGATCTTTCTTGTCTACTTGAAGAAAACTTTAAAAATATAACCCAAAGTAACCAGAATTATCCTTTGACTCCAGTGAAAAAGACTGTGCATGGCTACTAACAGTCAGTAGGCCTCCGCTGCACTAGCAAACACTGTATTTCATATTAATGTAAAAATTACAAACCATCTTAAAATTACTGTATGCTGTACATTATGGCTTTTCCCCCTATAGGCTTAAAATAAGCATTTCCCCACTTTCCATTAGCACTTGAACTCAAAAAATCAAACTAATTGCCGGTCTCAAACGAAATACCCACACACGCCTCTATGATGGAATCATAGCAAATCTCAATATTGACATGTTGTTTAGTGCTGAATTACATATTGGTGCCTTCAAATTAAGTCAGCCATTAAGAATTATTGACAAGGTGACAAACATTTTCCAATCTTAACACCTCATTAGCTTATTTCACTTGATCTCATTTGTGCAACCATTGACCTTTGCATGGACCCTCTGGGCCTTTAGCAGGCATCATCAGGACACTTTCTTCATCTGATAAAAGTCCACATGAACAGCCCCGTCTTGTGGTGGTTGTATTTTTTTACTTGCAAATTTTATGAAAGCTCTAAGTTGGTGACACTTTATTAAATGACAGAGGCAGGGCTGGCCCTGACCAATTTGGTGCCCTCGGCAAGATTGTAGTTGGCGCCCCCTTGCATCACAGTGAATTTTACTCTTAATTTTCATACAATAACACAGAAACTGCATGCATGTATTCAAGCTTTTATTTCAGTATAAACAACATACTAAATAAAACTGAAGAAACAAGTGACATAAATTAAAAATTTATTTATTTTCTACTATTTACAAAACAAGGGGCTGTGGACCACTGAGGAATCTGATGCAGAGCTGCTCTTATTTGTTTATTTTTTAAAATAATTTTTGATAAAAAGAAAGATGTTTAGTTTTGCTGTAAAAGGTTTTAGTTGTGTAATTTATTATAATATGGAAAAAGCTGAAGTATGAATTATTAACTGCACAGAAGAAGGAAACTGAGCATTTTAACAGACAGCCGAGAAAATACATTCAGCAGGTTAAAATACCACCTGAACAGGCCTGATATTGACTTTCTAAATATCCCTGATTAATTTAAGGTGGTGGTAACATATTAACTTAAGTCAAATATAGCTATTTATTATTTATAAACAATGCTGCTATCGTCCAAAATAAGCTACCAAGTTAGCATCACTCTGACAACAGTAACAACGATCCATTAACTTTACAGGGGTTCTCACCAGAAATGTTTGACAGCGTAGTGGGGGGGTGTCTTAGCGACACTCCCTGGCTAACTTGTATGTATTCAGGCAAATATTTAACAACAAGCGCCAATGCAGTTTCTCTAGTGAAGATGGTCTTCGCTAACGGGGGGTTAGCAAAGACCATCTGCTAACGAATAGCAGTGAAGACGATGGTAAAGAAACAGCATCGGTGCTTGTTGTTAAATATTTGCCTGAATACATGTAAGTTAACCAGGTACAATCAAGTAGTGATAATTTTCCCACAACATACCCTTGAAAATAACATAACGGCCCTCTTGGCAGCAGCGTAAAGGACCATTTCTCTGTTATAACACTGGTGAGAACCCTGCAGTTAATCTAATTAATTCCATGACATTGACGTTATCGTACCTCTGTTTTTTTCACATTTTTCTTATTCTTCTTTCCTTCTTTTCCTTCCCTGAGCGCCACACTCTTTTACTCTCCTAATAATTCCATGTATAAGTCAGTCTGCAATCTGCAGCCAAATACAGCCTGTGCACTCCGGCCACTTCCACTCCTCCACTTGTAGCGCCCCCGTGGATGTCGGCACCCTTAGCATTTGTCTATACCAGGGGTCGGCAACCCTCAACACCGAAAGAGCCATTTGGACCCGTTTCCCACGGAAAAGAAAAGACCGAGAGCCACAAAACCCTTTTGACATCTAAAATGAAGATAATACTGCATATATTGTTTTTACCTTTATGCTACTGTATGTATAAAAAACTATAGTGTGTTGCATTTATGAAATCAGTGAACTGCTACAGAGAAAACCAAAAACATTTTGAACTCCAAAAAAAAAGAATAAAAAAAAAAAAGAGACACTGGGTTGAAGGTGGCTGTCAAATAAAATATTCAACATCTATTTGTGCCCTCCTTGTATATATGAAATAAAAAGCTGATCTGAAATTATCCACCCGCAGCAAAGTAAAAATGTTGTCTGGTTGTCCTGCTGTCTGCAGCTGGGCTGCTGAGTGCTTTGGGACGGGAGGAGCTCATGGCAGCACCGCTGCTGGCTGAGGACAGTAACTGCAGAACGATACGTGTTGTCACGTCAGAGTCTCCAAAACACCAGAAGAGTCTCTAGTAACACCAGAAAGAGTCCCTAGATTTGTCGCTAGTCGCTTTTGGCAAAGAAAAAAAAGTCGCCAAGAGGATTTGGAAAATTGCCAGATTTAGCGAGAACGTCATCAAGGTGGCACCACTGCGCGTGCCGGCGGGTGTCACACATCGGCGGTTGTGACGCATATTTTGAGCGACAAAAAAATTAAACACGTTTTATTTTAATGTTACAAGTTCACAAAAATCTTCAAATTTAGAATTAAATTTTAAAAACCAACGAGCTAAAATAAAATACATTTAAATTCAAATACTCATTATTTATTTTCCAAAGCCACAAGGAGCCGCAGCAGAGGGATGAAAGAGCCGCATGCGGCTCCGGAGCCGCGGGTTGCCCACCCCTGATCTATACTACCTGTGCCTAAGGCCGACTCTGGACAGAGGCCGTGGAAGTGTTTTTTGCTAGGCATCTTATGGCCTTATCTTTTTATTGTACATTTGCATTCCCTGCATTATGTAATCTGCTTGCTAGCTTGTTAAACACTTAAATCAGTGGCTTCTAGATACCGTCAGTAATGTCTGTGCTGCCGTTGCCAAGCAATGGATTTCTCTTAACCTACAGCTGATGATGCAACGTTTAATTGCCAACCATTTGGTTTACAAATCTTCTAATGAGGTCCTGAGGTCCATTTGAAGGTAGCATGAATCATGCAAGTTGATGCTGATCACTTGTAAGGAAATCAGAGGCTACTTAAACAGTAGTATATCTGTGGAGACTATCAGTCATCCAGGTCATGAGAATTCTCTGCTGCTTCAGTAGAATGTAACTGGACTTCTTCAGTTCATTGGGATGTTTTAAATGATATTCAAGAGGCTTCTTCAGTTGTAACTGACTGGTGGGGAGTTCCGGGTATATATTCTCATCCTCAACTCACAAGGCAACAGGCTTGTCAAAGACCCAAGACTCTCATGACTCAAAGTGTCTCAGGACTGCATTATAAGTACCTGATAAGTGGTGCTGTACACCTCCTTCCCTGCTCAGAAATGGCTGTTAATGTTAAAGATAAATGTAAATTGGGTGAGTTAGGCAACCCGTCTTTCTTAAATGGAAATGCCATTTCTTAAAGGCAAGGATACCCAGACCTCCCCACAAATCAATCACCATTTCTTAGGTACTTCTAATGTAATCCTGAGACCCCTCTCCAGGCAGTTTTGCCACAAGTAACACATTAAGTTGTCCAACCTCACAAAGTTTTCCACCATTCACATTATGAGTCATGCAAGTCCTGAATCCGTAACATGCCTGGGACTCTCAGTCAGCTAAAACTGAGAAGGCCTCTTGGATAAATGTGAAATGCTCTCAAGAACTAAAAAGAAGTCCAGCTGCCTTCTCCTGAAGCACTTAAGATAACCTGGAAACTAGAGAACAGCATCCACTGATGCAACAACGTGCTGTGTGCTTTGGAGAATGGCTCAGCGTTAGCTACCCTTATTGTAGCATCTTTCAGTTCCTCTGAAGACTTCAGGTTTTTGCTTGTAGAAACATAAATGATTAAAAAGACAAGCTTGATGCTGTATTTGAGACTCAAACCTCAAATCTTGAAAATGAGGGTGCAGTCCTAATTGCAATCCTAGCCTAGTTTGCAGTAGAATCTGCAGTGAGATGTGCTCATGAATTATAGTCTGTAATGTGCTTGCATGCTCAGTGCAGCTACTAATGTTTAGTTGCCCATGAAAGAATAGTTAGGGAAGTGTTTTCCATGAGGTGTGTTTGTCCTGCAGTGACTCTGTGTCCAGTGTTGGCTCTATTGGGACAGAGGATGTTGGAGAGGGGATTCGACACTGGTTGGGAGTTCCTAGAGGAGGATCCCGTGGTGGTGGCTCGCCCTACAGCAGCCATGGTGGGCGTCAGTCTGTCGCAGACACCATGAGCACCTACAGCTTCCGGTAAGTCTGTTAACATTTGTTCTTCCAAAGATATATGTAGAACTACAATAACTAGTTAGCCAAAAGTATGACAGTTAGCTGCTATCAGTTAATTGACTAATTATTTCAGTCACTTTTTAAGTGAAAATTACAACCTTTTTCTGCTCTGTTCTTTTTATGGTTCCCGCTCCTAAAGTACATTTTTTATATATTTTGTCAAATTTTGTGCAAAGTTTTTTTTTTTCTTTTTTTTTTTTTTATGGCATATAACTGTGCTATACTGGACAAAAGACATTTCTGAGTTCTCTGTACCTCTAGTCATGGTTTTACTGTATCCATACAGATGCAGAAATTTACATCATAGTTAAAAATGAGCCTACAGTGAGTAAAAAGAAATGTATTGAACTTCTGGGTGTTATAACTATATGCACTGTTATACAACAGAAGAAAAGTAAGGCAAGGCTATCCAAGAAACGGCAGAGAATTTGCATCATGCAAAAACAAAAATTTACATTTTTGTAAATTGTAAATTCAAGATTAAAATTTAATGGATTCATTGAGAAAAGAGTCCCAACCCTAAATGTATGTTAGCCATATGAGCTTCAGCTTAAAAAGTTTCTTTCATCCCTCTAAAGTTCTTGTGTGGATCCTGACGATGAGGGCTCTGAGGCTGGAGGAGTTGGTAACAGAGGTCCTGGTCGAGCCCCATCCTCCTCAGCTCTGTCTGAGCTGTTGGATGGACTTCGTAAACGCAGAGCTGGCGGTGATGCAGGAGATGGAGCTGGCAGCGCCGTCTCCCTGCCAATTTATCAAACCACTGGAGCTTCAACTCTTAGAAGGAGAGCCTCAGCCCTCTCTCTCAGTCCAGAAGACATTCAGGAACCCCGACCTGGTCCCAGCATCCTCAAACCGTCCTCCCCACTCCTGCCACGTGCAGCCAGCACTCGCTCCATCGCTGACTCTCAGGTATCTGCCGGGACCTCTACAGCCAAACTGTCTCGCTTCAACTCAAGTGATTCCCTTTCATCGGTTCCCTCATTGCCGCGCCTCTCCTCCTTGGCATCCTCACTCGCCACTCGCCATCGTCCTCCCTCCCTTGCCATCCCAGAGGAGGACTCTGAGGAGCCCCTGCGCTCTGTGACGACTCCCATCCAGCGCTCCCCTCAGGCACCGCGACGGTGCATGCTGGGGAGTCTTGTTACAGAGGATGGAGGCGAGGGTTCTCTGGGATCAGAACCAATGGTCTTCCAAAACCGGCGCCTGGCTGGGGACCGCGATGACGCAGCCTCTGATATTCTGCCTGCCATCCGGAGAGCGCAGTCTACCAGCAGCCTGGCCAGCTCCGTCAGAGGGGGGAGGAGGGCCCTGAGTGTCCACTTCGGAGAGCTGCCTCCTTCGACCCGCAGCAGAAAAGGCTCAGAGACAGAGTCGTCCAGCTCAGGTGGATCAGGAGGAAGCTCCCAGGGCAGCGGGCCGAGACGCAGGTTCGAGAGGCCGCAAGGAGAAAGACTGGAGGCAGAGGGCAGCGAGGGCGGAGACGTGGCATCAGTCATGAAGAGATACCTAAAAAAGGAGGTTGACTGAAGCAGATGAGGTAAGCTCTTGTGTGTGTAGATACTCAGGTGTATATTTGTAGAACAAGGGAAGTCCTATCAAGTTCCAATCCAATATCATTGTCCAAGATAAAACTCACTTGAAGTACATTCAGGTTAATGAAATCAATCCAGTGTCTGTGCTTGACAACTGAATAGCTCTGCAACAAATTGGGAAAATTTGCTTTACTGCATCCAAGGCACTTTTGATAGTCATCTACAAGCTCCTGACAAGTTTTTGGTTGTATCTTTGACCACTCCTCTTGACAGAACAGGTGCAGTTCAACTAAATTTGTTGACTGTCTGACATAGACTTGTTTTTTTCTCAGCATCTTGATGGGAAGGCCAGTCTAAAACCTTTATTCTGACCTGATTTAGCCATTTCTTTTGATGTATGTTTGGGGTCATTGTCTTGTTAGAGCACCTAAATACCCAACTTTCTGACTGATGATTTTAGGTTTTCCTATAGAATGTGGAGGTACACGTCCTTTTTTATTATTCTGTTTACTTCATGAAAACCATCAGTTAATATACTTCTAGATATAGTTACTAAAGACTTGCACCATTAACATCCTGCCACAAATTACTGTGTTTGCTCCTTTTATGACACCTGTGTGACAGAAGACATAAACAATGGGTCAGGCTTTTGTTTGTACTAATACTGATCAGTTAGAAAAATGTCCCGATGCCCATCTTTGGGATTAGATCAGGATATACCGAGTGACAACTCAGGGAAATTTCTCAGATCCACATGGTGACTTTAATTTTGCCTTTCTATGTCAGAGCCCTGTTTCCCAAAGCCCATCAAGTCTTAGGCCTTCCCCTCACTAATGTTGATATCCTTTTGATTTCTTCTCCATTTGGACCTTTCAACTACCGTAACAGAGGTTTAGCAGAGCTAGAAATTTCGTTGAGGAGGTGGAGGAGACCAAACACAGAAGAACAAGATGAATGATAGCAGATGTATAGCTAAGCACCTGCTTGCTGACATGTTCAGCACATTATTTTAAGAGATAATATGCCATTTCAAGTTTATTTTAAGTCTTCTCTTCAGCATTAAGAAGCTCCTAACAGCACTTCCTGTTAATTGCTGCCTTGAGAATCATGTAAATTTTATGAGTTTTTGTAGTGATGCTTGAAGGAAAAAGATCATTATCAAGAAACTGAGCCCTGATTATTTTTTTAAGTGATTGCACTCTGGCACCACCAGTAATTTCATCTTATGGCTCAGAGTTGTGTAAAACATCAGCATCATTTCCTCCCAAACGAGAGCTCCCTGCTGAGAGTAGGTGTAGCGTGGCTTATAAATATCTGAGGTGGTCGTATTTTTAGTCCTGGTTGGGCTTTTAGTTAAGAATACAGGCCCAGACCTACACATGAACATGCTTCACACCGTCCTCCCTGTTCTGACCACACTGTCCTTGTTTTTTTTTGTCTCATTATCCTCTTTATGTGTCTGTGTCCAGCTGTGAGCTTCAAAGAAACACTGCAGGAGGCTGAGTGAAAATGCTTCAGAAGTCAATGCAGATGCTTCAATAGTAAAGCCCCTGAAAATACAACTGTCCAATTCTCAAGCACTCAGTCGACTGTATTTTCAAATAAGCACTGTTTGTATATGAATTAAAAACAAAAATGAAATGAACCTTCTGCTTCGTGGATTTTGTCCCCGTGGTGCATTTCTCACGTTCTGGCTTCTAATATTTCATGTTTTGTTTTCTACCATTTCATTTTTTTTTTGTATTTTTTATAACATAGACGATGGAAAGAGACAGAAATAGCCTTTGTGTAGATTGCACCCTAACCACTCAGTTATCAGGTTTCCCCCAGATATCCTTTGTTTACACCAACATTTAACACACACACTTCTCATGGCATTATTTTTCTGTCATGTTTTAACGAAAACTGAACATTACAACCCTCATAAATGGAAAGTTCATTGTAGGAGAAACTGGTAGAATTATTCCAAAAACAAGCCTCTCTCCTTTTTTTGGAGCAGCTACCTACTCTGTGTACATGGGCCCTAATTTATGCATCTAGAACCTAAATTTGTATAAGTTAGATTCTAATATAAATTGCTCAATTTCAGTAATTCTGATAAAAAAAAATTGAGTTTGTATCCGATTATTTTTCATTCAAATACAATAGATTCAAAGTGTTGACCAAAAAACTTGACACTGAATGTAATGCTTTGATATTTCAAGTAGTTGCTCTGACATCATATTTTATCCTCACCAAAAATTCAACTTTCTCAATTCAAATTCTGTTTTTGAGTTTTAGATCCAGATCCACACAGATATGTTGTCGGTTCAGATGGTCTGAGGTGTTAAAACTATTCAACTGTTTTGCTAAAAATCTTAACGGGCGCTTCAGGAGACGCCTGCCTCTCTAGATGTTCCTTGTTTTTCTTAGGTAATTTTAGATATTTTTCTACTTTTCTTTTGTCTTTACATATTCTATGGTTTCTTATAATTTTAAATCACCCGCAGGAGCCAGAAACCTCACTTTTTCTCGAGAGGAACTACTGGCTCTAAAGCCTATGGCACAGGCTGGAATACGACATCATATCCCAGCTGAGCTGAGGAGGCGTTACCGGGGTAGCAAGGCTGGCACTAGGCTGAAGGCTAGGCTAACAGACCAGAGGCGTTTCAAACCATCAATGGTAATTATGGGAAACGTAAATGCCTTGCAGAACAAGATGGACGAGCTGTCAGTGCTGATCCACCAGCGTATCTACTGGGAGTGCAGCTTGTTCATCCTCTTGGAATCGTGGCTAACCCAGCTAACACCGGACGCAAACGTGGACCTGCTGGGCTTTGCAACAGTGAGAGCGGACAAAGATACGAAAGCATGCGGAAAAAGCAGAGGATGGGGGTCTCATCATGTACATTAACAACCGCTGGTGTAACCCAAGTCACCTTTTTGTCAAGGTGGTTCTGTGTTGTCGGGATTTAGAACTGTTAGCTGTTAGCCTGCAGCCATATTACTTGCCACGAGAGTTTAGTCACGTGATCGCGATGTGTGTTTACATCCCCCGAGTGCCGATGCAGCCGCTGCCTGTGAGAAGATTCACACAGTCACAGCATGCCGCAGACCCAACATCCAGAGGCACTCATCATCATCTCTGGGGACTTTAATCACGCCACACTGAGCTCTGCCTTGCCTGCTTTCCACCAGTTCGTGAACTGCCCCACCAGAAAAAAATGGACAATCGACCTCCTGTATGCTAAAGTACGGGAAGCATACAGAACCACCACCCTCCCCCCACTTGGGAAGTCAGACCACAACCTAGTCCTCCTACAGCCTCAGTACACCCCTCTGGTCAAAAGACAGCCGGCCACAACACGCACCATCAGGAGGTGGTCTCCTGAGGTGGAGGAGGCCCTGAGGGACTGTATGGAAACCACCTCCTGGGATGTTCTGTTTTCCCCCCATGGTGAGGACATTGAGGGGCTGACCAACTACCTGACTGACTACCTGAACTTCTGTGTGGATGTAGTCTCTCCTGCTAAGACTGTTTGTTGGAAGAAGGTGGCCTTCAGGAACAAAGACAGGGAGGCAATCAGATCAGCACAGAGGGAGGTGACGCTGTGCCTGAAGGAGGCCAAAGACACCTACAGGAGGAAGGTGGAGCAGCAGCTGAGGAACAACAACATGAGGGAGGTCTGGCAGGGTGTGAATACCATCACGGGCTTCAGAACAAAAGCCAGAACAGCAGGGGGGACGGTGGAGAAGGCAAACAATCTGAATGCCTTCTTCAACCATTTTGACCAGCCCATGTCCCCCCCACCCTCCCCACTTACCCTCACTGCAGTCCCGTCCCCCCCAGTGTGCCTCCCTCTCAACATCAACTAACCCCCTGTCCCCCTCCCCTCTCCCCCTCCCCTGCATAACCGCCGACCAGGTCAGGGGACAGGAAGATCACGACACAGGACGGCAACAGGACCGGACAAGGTGTGTCCACTACCGACTGGTTCCTTCCATCGGCACAGGTAGCTGCTGCTCCAGGTATTGTGGTTGGAAATAGTCAAATTTCTTCCACATTGACTCAGTCTCTCCCTGCCTGATGGGTAAAACAGTCAGTTTCACTGTTACTGTGTTCCAATGACACAACGATCATAAAACATCTGCTAAAAACGCTGCTAAAAGAAAACTTTTCAACTTCGGCAAATTTGTGTAGAACGCACTTTCCACTTAGTTTTCCAACTAATGTTTAGTTGAGGACTTGTCAGAGGAGCTGCACAGTAGACACCTGATAGCATCTACTGGAACAGCATGTGAGGCGTTTACGGAACATCAGTAAAATATAGCATCTACCAGAGCAGTATGTGAGTCGTTTAGGGAACATCTGTAAAATGTACCATCAACTCATACACATATTCAGCAATTGTTTAGCATGTGTCCAGTTAATGAGTGATATCAGAAGAGGACTGGTGACAAAATAAATATATTTTCAGATTAAGACATTTTACAAATATCTAGTCTTGTATCACTGAAAATCATTGCAACATAACTAAGTTATGCAAAAACAGCTATTCATCAGCTGCATGGTGGATTAATAGCGATGGCAAAGCTGGACCAAAATAAGGGGTGAGGTGACCAAATCATTAGTTGGTGCAACCAACAAAGAAAGTTGGCAGCACCAGTGCTACCATTGGAAAAGTTAGTCTGGAGCCCTGCTACATGTGTTTTACTTTTAGATAAAGGCATGCACAATAGTTGTACATATAGTAAATAACAATCAAATGCAGAGACAATTATGTAACAGCATGTTAAGAAGCCGTTACATTTATACGGTCTTACAGTTACAACTGGCCCTTTGAGGGCAAACATAATGCTTATGGGGTGGTGGTTCCCATTTTTAAAAAAGGAGACCGGAAAGTGTGCTCCAATTATTGGGGCATCACACTTCTCAGCCTCCCCGGGAAAGTTTACTCTGGGTGCTGGAGAGGAGCCCAATTGTCGAACCTCAGATTCAGGAGGAGCAATGCAGATTCCGTACTGGTCGTGGAACAGTGGACCAGCTCTTTACCCTTGCAGAGCTGCTGAGGGGGGCATGGGAATTCGACCTGCCAGTCCACATGTGCTTTGTGGATCTGGAGAGGGCCTATAACCGTGTCCCCGAGGGACTCTGCGGGGGGCACTGAGGGAGTATGGGGTACCAAGCTCGCTGCTACGAGCCATTCGGTCCCCATACAACCAAAGTGTGAGCTGTGTCCGCATTCTCGGACACGTTCCCAGTGGGTGTTGTACTCCGCCAGGGCTGCCCCTTGTCCCCGATCCCATTCGTGGTCTTCATGCACCGTTGTGGTGAAGAGAGAGCTGAGCCGCAAGGCGAAGCTCTCGATTTACCAGTCCATCTACGTCTCAACCCTCACCTATGGTCACGAGCTTTGGGTCGTGACCAAATGAAAAAGATTGCGGATACATAAATGAACCTCCTCCACAAGGTGGCTGGGCTAAGCCTTAGAGATAGGGTGAGGAGCTTGGACATCCGGAGGGAGCTCGGAGTAGAGCTGCTGCTCCTTCACATTGAAAGGAGCCAATTAAGGTGGTATGGACATCTGATTTGGATGCCTCCGGAGAAGCTTCCTCTGGAGGTCTTCCGACCATGTCAACCTGGGAGGAGACCCCGGGGCAGACCCAGAACCCGCTGGAGGGATTACATCTCTCAGCTGGCCTGGGAACGCTTCGGGATCCCCCAGGAAAAGCTGGAAAGCGTTGCCGCGGGGAGGGAAGTTTGAAATGACCTGCTCTGCCTACTGCCTCCACATCCCAACTCCAAATAAGTGGAAGAATATGGATAGATGGATGGATGGATTATAACATACCAAAAAGAATACCAGCAAATATCTATAAACAAATATATTTTTCAAGACTTAAATACAGTAGCAATCTCAGGGTTTTATGTTCGCATTGTAAAAGAACTAATTGTTCTTTGTAAAAAAAAAAAAAAAAAGAAAAACTAGGAGAGACAAAAATCCAAAAAGATATAAAAACACAAACTGGTACGCAAAGGCAGAGCAAGGAGCAAAACATACAGGTAACAGGCCATGATTCCAAAATAAAACAGGAAGTAATAGAAAAGGGACGTAGAAGGTACATCGAGACAAACAGAGAGATAAAAACAGGGAGACACAGACAATGCACAACAGGCAATCGAACAAAACAAAAAAGCATGACAACATTATCTGTAATTTTAACAAAACTGGGAAAATAGCTACAAATGGTGACTCACCAGTGCTGCCATTGGAAAATAGTTAAAAAAATGCTCTTAAATAAGAGCAGATATCTGGGGGTGAAAAACCACATAAAAACTGATACCACAAATTTAAAAGCACACATTTTTCAGCCCTCCTCTATGTACTTGATGGGCCCGTAACTCTGAAAATATTCCTGGTATGAAAGTAATGTTTTGTGGTTAGCTCTTTGCTGTGTTTGAGGTTAAGCCAGAGCTTTATTGAATCTGTTTTTCTGTGTTCTTTATCCCCATCTGTTGCTCTGCATGAGTTCAGCTGGAGGTAACAGTGGCTGTAAGTCCAGTTAAAACCATCTGCAGTGTGTACAACACCAAAGGAAACCGTCGTCTCCATTAAATTTATTCCTACCTCTTTCCACCGCACTCTATTAAATTCCTCACACTTC